ACGGTGAAACCCCGTCTCTACTAAAAATACAAAAAATTAGCCGGGCGCGGTTGTGGGCGCCTGTAGTCCCAGCTACTCGGGAGGCTGAGGCAGGAGAATGGCGTGAACCCGGGAGGCGGAGCTTGCAGTGAGCCGAGATCGCGCCACTGCACTCCAGCCTGGGCGACAGAGCGAGACTCTGTCTCAAAAAAAAAAAAAAAGAAAAGAAAATTAATGTATTTAATTGGTACATAACTGATGTATATATTATCAGTGTACCTGTGATAATTTAATGCATTTGTATAATGTATAAAGATCAAATCAGGGTGCATTTGTATAATGTATAAAGATCAAATCAGGGTAAAGGATATCCATCACCTTAAATACTTGTCTTTTCTTTATGCTGGAAACATTTGACGTATTCCCTTCTAGCTGGTTTTTGTTTTTGTTTGAGATGGAGTCTCAGCTCTGTTGGCCAGGCTGGAGTGCCATCGTGCGATCTTGGCTCAGTGGAACCTCTGCTTCCCGGGTTCAAGCGATTCTTGTGCCCCCGCCTTCCAAGTAGCTGGGATTACAGGCGCGTGCCATCACACCTGGCTAATTTTTTTGTGTTTTTAGTAGAGATGGGATTTCACCATGTTGGCCAGGTTGGTCTTGAACTCCTGAGTTCGAGTTATCCACCTGCCTCTGCCTCCCAAAGTGCTGGTATTACAGGCGCAAGACACGTGCCCAGACCCTTCTAGTTATTTTAGAATGTACAGTATTTCTTGGATTTTCGTTAACCGTCTTGAGAAGCTGCTCGCCATCTGACTGAGGGGGAGTGTCTTTCGTTCTAGGCTCCAGATTGCTGCCCTGTAGTGGAACAGTTTTTCATTCCCAATTCAGTGTAGCCCATTATACTTCACTTCCATCAGAGAGGCTCAGCCCGTTGCTGTCTTCTCTTTCATCCATTTCTTCCCAGCTGCTGTTTCCCTTCCTTCTTATCCAGAGGAGGGAACAAGATAAGAATATCTGCGGTTTACTTCCTCCAGATTTGGAACGTTGATGGGAGGTCTAAGATCCTGTCGACTTCCCCTTGTGAGGGTCAGGAGCAGCTCTGGTATTGAGTCTCCTTCCTTCTCAACTGTCTAGAGTTTTCCCCAGGACCACCAGGCTCAAGTTGACAGTCCCTTTTCTTGTTTGGCTGCTTCACAGATTTTTTTCTCTTTCCATAGCTTTTTTCGTTGTTGGTAGCTTTTGCTATTTTACATGTTTTAAAAAATGTATTTTAGGCTGGACATGGTAGCTCACACCTGTAATCTCCTCACTTCGGGAGGCAGAGGTGGGCAGATCAGGAGTTTGAGACCAGCCTGGCCAAAATGGTGAAACCTCTTCTCTACTAAATATACAAAAATTAGCCGGGCGTGGTGGCACACACCTGTAATCCCAGCTACTTGGGAGGCTGAGACAGGATAATTGCTTGAACCTGGGAGGTGGCGAGTGCAATGAGCCAAGATTATACCACTGCATTCCATCCTGGGTGACAGTGAGACTCTGTTTCCAAAATAAATAAATAAATAACTGTGTTTTATGATGTGTGGAGGAAAATGCTGTTATTTAATTTCATCTTGCCATCTCCCCCCACAAGTACTTTGTTTGGTTTTCTGTTTGGAAATCCCTGGTGCTAATTTTCTTTTTCTCCATCTGATTAGTTCAGGTTTCCATTAGGGCATGGAGTGCTTTGTTTCTCTGAGTACTGTATTGTATTTTTGTCAAGTTTGTTAAAAGAGAACCTTCAGACAAGATAAACTTAGGGTTTATTTGAGCATTAAAGGATTCACGAACCTGACAGCACTCAACATGGGTAGAGGGTCCGAGAGCTGCTCCACGGGTGTGGGCAGTGAGCTTTTGTAGCAGAAGTAAAGAATTGCAGAAGTAAAGAAATTACTTGATTGGCCACAGCTAGGCATTTGCCTCATTTGATTATGTTCCTGTGACAGGTTTCTGTGTAGCTAATAGGCGGGGTGGCTGTCTGTAATTGGCTGAAACTCATTCAGAATCAAATACCCTCTAAGGTCATTTTCAGTTTTCTTTTGTGAGATTTCAGGGTACAGAAACAACCACAGGCTAATGGCCACCTGCTTAGAGTGCCTTAACAAGTTGAAACTGATTATTATATTAAATATAGCAAAAACTCTGCAACTGTGACAGATTCATAGAAAATAGGCTCCTATTGTTGCCCACCTGTTGTTGTACATGATTCTTTATCTATGGAATTTACTAAGTGAAATAAAATTAGAAACCAATTTTCATAATCCTATTGGCTGCAGGAAAGGAGGGTATACCATTAATTATGGAAGGTTGGCTTGTTCCATTTCCCACGGAGCACCTAACCATCGGGGATTAGGGAAGGTTGTTGGCTGAATGACCGCTTTCCACTTGTGGAACATTTTGATATGGACTCTCCTGTAATGTTTCTTTTGTTTGTTTTTTTTGAGACAGAGTCTCGCTCTGTCGCCCAGGCTGGAGTACAGTGGCATGATGTCCGCTCACTGCAAGCTCCGCCTCCCGGTTTCAAGCGATTTTCCTGTCTCAGCCGCCTGAGTAGCTGGGATTACAGGCACGAGCTGCCACTCCTGGCTAGTTTTTGTATTTTTAGTAGAGATGGGGTTTCACCATGTTGACCAGGCTGGTCTCGAACTCCTGGCCTCAAGTGATCTGCCCACCTTGGCCTCCCAAGATGCTGGGGCTACAGGCCTGAGCCACTGCACCTGGCCCTCACCTCTCTCTTTAAATGAAGAGTGTCTACAGCTGCAAGGTGCACATAAAATATCCATGCTTCATGCTTTACCAGTTTTGTTACCCAGCTAATAAATTCAGACATTCAGAGAGGTTTCGGTTGATCACGTGAGTTGTTTAAAATTGCTGCCAGCATGTTTTGTAACTTTCTGTTTTTTTTTTTTTTTTTTGAGACGGAGTCTCGCTCTGTTGCCCAGGCTGGAGTGCAGTGGCGCATCTCAGCTTATTGCAAGCCCCGCCTCCTGGGTCCATGCCATTCTCCTGCCTCAGACTCCTGAGTAACTGGGACTACAGGAGCCTGCCACCATGCCTGGCAAATTTTCTTTTTGTATTTTTAGTAGAAACGAGGTTTCACTGTGTTAGCCAGGATGGTCTCGATCTTCTGACCTCGTGATCCGTCTGCCTTGGCCTCCCAAAGTGCTGGGATTACAGGTGTAAGCCACCACGCCCGGCCTTGTAACTTTCTTAAAAATCAGTTTCATATGGAGAAGGTTTTTGAAATGTCTTTTTCCGATCCCCACATGGTTGAGGAGGGGTTGAGGCCAAGTGCTGTATCCTAAACATGGGTCATATGATATGAAGCAATCTGAATAAGGTGTTTCTTTGTTGTTGTTGTTGTTGTTGTTGTTTTAATGAAAAGTTAATGTCCTCATGATGGAAAATTTGATACATTTGAAAAGAATACAGAAGAAAAAGTCAACCATAATTCCACCATCTACAGATAATTGCTGTTTAGGATTTAAAAAGATATCTACTCCTAGTTTTATTTTCTGTACATCTATTTACAGTGTCAACTTTTATATATACACGTTTATACCTTTGTTTTTATACTAGGGCTTCTTAACAGTGGCACTCCTGAATTTGAGTGGGATCGTTCCTTGTCATGGGGGGGCTGTCCTGTGTATTTTAGGATGTTTAGCAGCATCTCTGGCCTCTACCCACTAGATGCTAGCAGCACCCCCTGTTCTGTGAAAGGGCTGTATATGCAAAATGACCCCCAAACACTGAAGGAGCTGAGAAACCAATCCATGTGGGAGACAAATCCAGTTTGTCAGTAGAGGGTGATTTTATGGACAGAAGCATAGTTTGGGGCAGCAGTAAGACAGGGAAAGGCCTGCACTCTTACTCTCAGACCTGGGGCTAATCTATCATAGGGAAAGGGTGTACGCACTTTGTGCAGGACAATTGAAATCAGCTTTCCAGAACATGTAACAATGCTGTGTGTCACCGCCTGTCATTTGTGTAACAGCATCAAGGTTACTTGGATCTTAGGGCAGCATTTATAGCGAGTACAGGTTCTTATACTAGGGACTGTAAATAAAGCAGGAATCAGGAGTGATCCCTGGGACCAGGGTTGAGCAGAAGTCAACCTGGTAGATTAGCATCCAAGATGGAGTCACTTTGGTCTCCACCTCGACCCCAAGTTGTGACAACCAAAAATGTCTCTAGATATTGCCAAATGTCTTGGGTGGGGGCTAAAATCACCCCAGGTTGAGAACTGCTATTTTATATTTAGTTTTATGACGTAAATACTTCTTCCATATTATTACAGATTTAGTAAGCATCATTTTTAGTGGCCCTGTAATATTCCACTGTGGATATCATCTTCAGTCTTACATTGAGAAGAGTGACCTTGGCTGTCTTTAGTACACAGAGCTTTGCAAAATTATTCTATGACTAGGCAGGTATAATATTCCATAATCTACTGGTGGGAGTGTTTTTTAAATCGTGGTAAAAGTATATAAAATATGACATCTTAACCATTTTTAGATGTACAGTTTAGTAACATTAGGAATATTCGCATTGTTGTACCACAACACTCCATAACCGATGTGAATATTTACTAGTGAATGCACTAAGTAATGATATGTTGTTTTTATTTTTATTTTCACTTTCTGGTTCTTTTAATTATATTTTTTTATTAACCCTTATCTATGTGATGGAATGTTTTTCTTTTTATTTTCTTTTTAATAAACAGCTTTACCTTGAAGATATGCTTGTTTTTGTTAAGGAACATGAGAAAAGTTTTTTAAAAAGTATTGCAAATATTAAGTGAATACACTGTAAATTAAGTGCACACTTTATACTTTTTTTTTTTTTTTGAGACAGAGTCTCTGTCACCCAGGCTGGAGTGCAGTGGTGGGATCTCGGCTCACTGCAGCCTCTGCCTCCTGGGTTCAGTTGATTCTTATGCCTCAGCCTTATTAATACAGTTTCATAAACTATTTTGTGTACTATTTTAGATCCCTCTGTTTGGAATCATGTCGTCAGATTCTGCAGATCCTTTCTACTGGATGAGAGTTATTCTGGCTTCCAATAGAGGTATGCGTGTCTTCTGTCTCCACATTCCTCCTCACAGCAAACAGAGGGAAATGCGGATTAGCAATGAGTTTTCAGTGCCTACAGGGAGGGGAGGATATCATTGCCTAGAGAAGCCTAGTGTGTAGATAACGACACCACCATGTGATTACCGTAATCATAGAGAAATCTGTTCTTGGGTTTTCACGGACTACAAAACCCTGATCTTCAGTGTCAAAGAAGGTGATGTCCAGGTAACATTGGAATTGGAGTCCAGGTGGGGCCTGGTGGCTGACCCCTGTAATCCCAGCACTTTGGGAGGCCAAGGTGGGCGGATCACCTGAGGTCAGGAGTTTGAGACCAGCCTGGCCAGCATGGTGAAATCCCCGTCTCTACTAAAAATACAAAAATTAGCCAGGCGTGGTGGTGTGCGCCTGTAATCCCAGCTACTCGGGAGGCTGAGGCAAGAGAATTGCTTGAACCTGGGAGGTGGACGTTACAGTGAGCTAAGATCGTACCACTGCAATCCATTCTGGGTAACAGAGTAAGACTCTGTCTCCAAAAAAAAAAAAAGAGAAGTCCAGTGTGTGAGCCAGTGGGGGAGCTCAGCTGGAGCTGAGCCTGAAGCCTCAAGCAACATGGTTCATCTGGGAAATTGTGGCTGAGGATGCTGGACAGTGAGACTAGCAAGGGGTACAACCAGTCATGAGGTTTCTTGCATTTAGGAACAGTGGTTGCCTCTTTTTTGGAAACACTTTTTTCGGGTGATCCTCCCACTTCAGCCTCCTGAGTAGCTGGGACAATAGGCACAGGCCACAATGCCTGGCTAATTTTTGTAGTTTTGTAGAGATGAGGTTTTGCTGTGTTGCCCAGGCTGGTCTTGTACTCCTGGGTTCATGCCATCCTCCCTCCCCGGCCTTTCAAAGTGCCGGGATTACAGGTGTGAGCCACTGCACCCAGCCTGGAAACACTTTAGCTGGCAGATTTTTTTTTTATGTTTTTAGGTTATAAAGGTAATATTGATTTATTATTTTAAAAATGCACTAGCAGTTTGTATATAGATTTATATGAAGCTGAAAAGAAAAGTGTCACTTCTGAGGGGAACTCTGGCAAATTTGTTAGATTGGTGACTATGCATTGAGGCCTTTTCTTTGCACGTACATTCACCTACATATATCTATATACTTCTTATAACTCTAAGATGTCCTGTATATACTATTCTGCTACTTTGGTTCCTTAATATCTTACATGAGCTATTAATGGCCATGTTATTATTCCATTATAAGGATATGCCGGGATTTATTTGATCATTCATTCACCACGTTTATTGAATTCGTACTGTGTGTCAGGTGTCAGCCTTTGTGTAAGGTGCTGAGATTAGAGCAGTGAACAAGACAATGTCCCAATTGTTATGGAGTTGATATTTGCTGTTTGGGGAGGTACATGGGGTGGGGAAGGTGCTCTAGGAAGGTGATCTTTGAAGACACCTGCAGGAAGTGAGAGAGGAGGCCATATGAAGACCTGAGGGAGGCACATTCTAGGGAAGAGCCAGTGCAAAGGCCCTGAGGTGAGCCTGTGCTTGGTGTGTTCAAAGATCATTGAGGAGGGGTAGGGTGCGGAGGCTCACACCTGTAATCCCAACACTTTGGGAGGCTGAAGCGGGCAGATCACTCGAGGTCAGGAGTCCGAGACCAACCTGGGCAACAAATTGAGACCCCATCTCTACTAAAAACACAAAAATTAGCCAGGCGTGGTCGCGTGTACCTGTGGTCCCAGCTACTTGGGAGGCTGAGGTGGGAGGATGACTTGAGCCTGGGAGGCAGAGGTTGCAGTGAGCCGAGATCATGCCACTGCACTCTAGCCTGGGTGACACAGCCAAACCCTGTCTCAAAAAAAAAAAAAAAAAAAAAGAATATTGAGAAGGTGAATGTGGGATGGAAGAAATGAAAGAAGAGGGAGGCATGGTGGGACCTGAGGTTGCAGATGTATCTAAGTCAGATCATGAAGGACTTGGAGACTGTTGGATGGAGCACATTTTAAGGAAGATGGGAAACTTCTGCAGGCCGCTAGGGTCCTTTCTTGTCATAGATTACGTTTTTTCCCCCTGATTTTATATCGTTGTAAACAGTGCTACAATGAAGGGTATCACACCCTTCTGTAACTTTTTGATAGAATGAATTTCTAGAAGTTCAACTGTTAGGACACAATATGGGCACACTACAGTTTTTGATAGAGAAGGCTAAATTATCTTCCAAAACAGTTGTTTGATTTTCCACTCTCAGTGACAGTATATGAGAACGACCATTTCTCTCAACCATGGATATTATTAGTATTGTAGTCTTTGTCAGTCAGACAGGTAAAAGCTGGCAACAATTAGTTCATTTTGATTTCTTTATAGATTGGTGAGTTTGAACATTGTTTTCTGCTTTTATGGAACATTTGTATTTCTTCTGTAAGTGAACTTTTATTAGCGTGTTAGATTCCTTTTTGTTATAAGTAATAGGAAACTAGATGCTTTTGTAGTCCGTAGGTGTGACGATTGGACCTTCACGCTCATGGGTGAGATGCGCCTCTCTCCAGCCTTGTTAGGATCTTGGGACATGACCCATCTAACATGAAAAGAAAAAATAAATTTTTTAAAATAAAGGCGAAAAATTAAGGAATAGGAAATCACTGACTAGCTTAAACAGAAACATGACATTTGCTGGAAGAATACTGGTTATTTTTTGGAATCTAAAGTGGAGGTGAACAGCTAAGCCCCAGGAGGAAGGAGAGCCCGGCCAGCCCTTAGGCCTCAGCGGCCAGGGACTGGTGAACATTTTCTGTGCGATTCAGCTCCACACTCCCAGATACTGTTGTTTTGTTTTTTGTTTTGTTTTGTTTTGGTTTGGTTTTTTTGAGGCGGAGTTTCACTCTTGTTGTCCAGGCTGGAGTGCAATGGCATGATCTTGACTCACTGCAACCTCCACTTCCCAGGTTCAAGCGATTTTCCTGCTTCAGCCTCCTGAGTAGCTGGAATTACAGGCACAGGCCACCATGCCTGGCTAATTTTTTGTATTTTTAGTAGAGATGGGGTTTCACCATGTTGGCCAGGCTGGTCTCGAATTCCTGACCTCAGGTGATCCACCCACCTCGGCCTCACTGGGATTACAGGTTTGAGCCACTGTGCTTGGCCCCAGATTCTTTATTTTTTAGTTTAAAATTCCAGATGACCAGGGTTGACGCCAGGCAGGATGAGCTTCGGTTAGAGTTCCAGGGTTGCACAGTATGGGTTTGGGTGCTGAGGGCCTACTCCTGTGCTGCATTTTCCTGAGAAAGCTTCATCGGGAGCAGACACATCATGTATCTGCTGTTTCCTTTTTAAATTGGTTTGTTCGCTTTTTTTTTAATTAATTTTTTTTTTGTAAATTTTCCTGCCTCAGCCTCCCGAGTAGCTGGGATTACAGGCAGGCGCCTGCCACCACGCCCGGCTAATTTTTTTTATTTTTTAGTAGAGACAGGGTTTCACTGTGTTGGCCAGGATGGTCTCGACCTCCCGAGCTTGTGATCCACCTGCTTCAGCCTCCCAAAGTGCGGGGATTACAGGCATGAGCCACTGCGCCCAGCCAGTTTGTTCACTTTTTAATTGATTTGTAAGAGCTCTTTGCATATTAGAGAATAGAACTTTTTGTCATTTGTGTTTAATTTTTTTTTTTTCTTTTTTTGGGACAGGCTCTTGCTCTGTTGCCCAGGCTGGAGTGCAGTGGTGCAAAACATAGCTCACTGCAGCCTTGACCTCCTGGGCCAAGCGATGCTCCTGCCTTAGCCTCCCATGTAGCTGGGACCACAACAGGGCCCCACCATTTCTGGCTAGTATTTTAATTTTTTGTAGAGACAGGGTGTCACTTTGTTGCCTAGGCTGCTCTCAAAGTCCTGGCCTCAAGTGATCTGCCTGCCTCAGCTTCCTAAAATGTTGAGATGACAAGCGTGAGCCACCGTGCCCGCCTAAATAGTTTTATTCTAACCGTTATGCTGCCTTTTGCCACGTGGAAGTTTCATAGTTGTAGCCAATCATATCTTCCATCTTTTCCTTTGTGGCTTCTAGATTTTTTGCCATGCTTAAAAAGACTTTCTTCCCCAAGATGATAAGCTACTCACCCATATTTCCTTCTAGTATTTTTGTCATTTATCCTTTATGTTTAAATTTTCTATACATGGAGGCTGGGCACAGTGGCCCATACCTGTAATCCCTGCACTTTGGGAGGCCGAGGGGGCAGATCACCTGAGGTCAGGAATTCGAGACCAGTCTGGCCGATGTAGTGAAACCCCATCTCTACTGAAAATACAGAAATTAGCCAGGCATGGTGGCTCACGACTATAATCTCAGGTACTCGGAAGGCTGATGCAGGAGAATTGCTTGAATCCGGGAGGTGGAGGTTGCAGTGAGACAAGATCGTGCCATTGCACTCCAGCCTGGGTGACAGCGAGACTCTGTCTAAAAAAAAAAAGACAAAGAATTTCTATATATGTAGCATTTATTTAGATGTAAGGCATGAGGCATCAGGTAAGGAATCTAGGTTTAATTTCCTAAAAATGGCCAATTTTTTTGCCCAGGTCCATTCTTTTTTTCTCTGATTTGAAATGCCATATTTCCTATATCAGATATTTATTAAAGCTTGATTAAATCTAATTCTGGACTAGAGCTATTTTGCAATAAAAAATTTTGGTGATTTGGCTGGGCGCGGTGGCTCAAGCCTGTAATCCCAGCACTTTGGGAGGCCGAGACGGGCGGATCACGAGGTCAGGAGATCGAGACCATCCTGGCTAACACGGTGAAACCCCATCTCTACTAAAAAATACAAAAAACTAGCTGGGCGTGGTGGCGGGTGCCTGTAGTCCCAGCTACTTGGGAGGCTGAGGCAGGAGAATGGCGTGAACCCGGGAGGCGGAGCTTGCAGTGAGCTGAGATCCGGCCATTGCACTCCAGCCTGGGCGGCAGAGCGAGACTCCTTCTCAAAAAAAAAAAAAATTTTTGGTGATTTAAGAAGTCTATCTAATGTCTTTTTTTTTCTTTTTTTTTTTTTTGAGACAGAGTCTCACTCTATTGCCCAGGCTGGAGTACAGTGGCATGATCTCAGCTCACTGCAACCTGTGCCTCCCACGTTCAAGCGAGTCTTCTGCCTCAGCTTCCTGAGTAGATGGGACTATAGGCGCGTGCCACCATGCCTGGCTAACTTTTTTATTTTTAGTAGAGAAGGGGTTTTACCATATTGGCCAGGCTGGTCTCAAACTCCTGACCTTGTGATCTGCCTGTGTCGGCCTCCCAAAGTGTTGTGATTACAGGCATGAGCCACTGTGCCCGGCCTTTTTTTTGAGATGGAGTCTCACTGTGTCACCAGGTTGGAGTGCAGTGGTGCGATCTTGGCTCACTGCAACCTCCAACTCCTTGGTTCAAGGGAATCTCCTGTCTCAGCCTCCTGAGTAGCTGGGACTACAGGCGCACGCCACCACACCTGGCTAATTTTTGTATTTTTAGTAGTGATGGGGTTTCACCATGTTGGCCAGGATGGTCTTGATCTCCTGACCTCAGGTGATCCGCTGGCCTTGGCCTCCCAATGTGCTGGGATTACAGGTGTGAGCCACGACGCCTGGCCAATAAATCCATCTAATGTCTTAAACACTAAAACCTGTTTTTATTTTTTTTACTATTGAGGAAGTATCTGAGATGACATAAAAAAATCCCCCTTAAGGTGGAATATTTTCTGACATGAAGGCCACCTTTTCAGCATTTATGAAAACAGGATTGAAGGGAGTGATGTGACAGAGTGGCCCAGGAAAAGTCTCGGCAGTGTAGAATTACTTAATTCCATACCTTCCTTACACAATTGGCATATTTGATTTTCTTATTTCTCACTATACATTCTTTTTTTTTGGTTTGTTTTTGAGATGGAGTCTCACTCTGTTGCCCGGGCTGGAGTGCAGTGGTGCAATCTCGGCTTACTGCAACCTCTACCTTCCAGGTTCAAGCAATTCTCCTGCCTCAGACTCCTGAGTAGCTGGGATTACTGGTGCCCGCCACCACACCTGGCTAATTTCTGTATTTTTAGTAGAGATAGGGTTTCACCATGTTGGCTAGTTGGTCTGGAACTCCTGACCTCAAGTGATCCACACACCTCGGCCTCCCAAAGTGCGGGGACTGCAGGCATGAGCCACTGCGCCAAGCCTAAAGTACTTTTTATTCAGGGCATTGTTGCAGGATTGTGTTAATAAATGAGAACTTTTCTTAGCAATGAATGTTTAAGAAATGAAAATTTGCTTGTTAAAATTTACACGTGTGTTTCAGTTGAGGTAATTAGGGAGTGGGACACCCGTAAATCCGTTTGTATCGTGTACAATAAACATTGCACACTTCTCTCCCCTTCCTCTCCAGGAACTTTAATGGAATTGGGTATCTCCCCAATTGTAACATCTGGTTTGATTATGCAGTTGTTAGCTGGAGCCAAAATCATTGAAGTGGGAGATACACCGAAAGATAGAGCTTTATTCAATGGAGCCCAGAAATGTGAGCATTAATGCAGTTCAAGAGCATTTTCCAAGTTTGAGACTGCTTGCGGTAAAGATGTTTTCTCGGGCTTTCCTTGTCGTTGGTGGTAAGCGTGCTCTCCTTTCCCCCACTTCTCGTCAGTGTTTGGTATGATCATTACCATCGGGCAAGCCATTGTGTATGTCATGACGGGGATGTACGGGGACCCTGCGGAAATGGGTGCCGGGATCTGTCTCCTTATCATTATTCAGGTAAGAAATCCTATATTTTCCTATGCAGATAACAAAACAGTTTGATTCCTTTTTTCTTTTCTAACAGTTCTTTAGGTGATTGACTTGTTCATTTTCTTACTGTTGAATTATTTGATTGTAGTATTTTGATCACTGAAGTGATATGTGTACATTTTTTTTTAAAACCTTCTATGACCGTGATGTGTTCAAATTGTGTTGATGTGAAAAATTCAAATTTATTCTAAGAGCTTCATAACTGCATAATACCAAGAATTATGGATCAACTGTATTGATTCTTGAGATGCACAGTTGTCACATTGTGATATCTCTGGAATCAGGGTGTTTCTGTACAGTAAACAGTGCCTTCCACTTGCGGTCCGCCAGGAGACAGTGGTGGTGTCACTGCCCGCGTGTGTGTCGGCTTGTTCACGTCGTCGTGACGTTAGTTGGCTGAGTGTGTTCTTGACAGAACGGCTGTTTGAGTTCAGTTGCTGTCTAAAGGTGTTCAGAAAATCTGCTGTGATTTGTTACTGAAATGAAGGTTATTGTTTAAATATAGAAGGGCAAGCTAGAGGACAAATATCTACCTCGAGGTCTAAAATACCTTTTTGTAAGGAGAAAATTAAAATTCTTTGTAATAAGGTATTCTGTCACAAGTTAATTGGCAGTATTCTTTTCTTAGTAGTACACAAAATAATGTTTTAAATGGTAATATCTTAGAGTCAGTGAAACACTATTTATACACACATAAATATGTTCTGTGGGTTTTTTAAATGGATGCTTGGGAATGGAATTTTTTTTTTTTTTTTTTTTTTTGGTGAGATGGAGTCTTGCTCTGTCGCCCAGGCTGGAGTGCAGTGGTGTGATCTCGGCTCATTGCAAGCTCCGCCTCCCGGGTTCACACCATTATCCTGCCTCAGCCTCCCGAGTAGTTGGGACTACAGGCACCTGCCACCACACCCGGCTGATTTTGTGTGTGTGTGTGTGTGTGTATTTTTAGTAGAGACAGGGTTTTACCGTGTTAACCAGGATGGTCTTGATCTCCTGACCTCATGATCCACCCGCCTCGGCCTCCCAAAGTGCTGGGATTACAGGCGTGAGCCACCGCCCAGCCACTTGGGAATGGAATTTTTAAAGGCCAACATAACTATCAGTGTCCTAAGTATCAATTTTTTTTTTTTTTTGAGATTTAGTATTACTCTGTTGCCTGGGCTGGAGTGCAGTGGCACGATCTCAGCTCACTGCAACCTCCGTCTCCTCTCCCGTGTTCAAGCAATTCACCTGCCTCAGCCTCCTGAGTAGCTGGGATTACAGGTGCCAACCACCACGCCCAGCTAATTTTTTGTATTTTTGGTAGAGATGGGGTTTCACCATGTTGGCCAGGCTGGTCTTGAACTCCTGACCTCATGATTTGCCCACCTCAGCCTCCCAAAGTGCTGGGATTACAGACGTGAGCCGCCACGCCCAGCCCTAAGTATCTTAAAGTATGTTAAGTTTAGAAGATATTTTTCCATTGTACAATCCTTAAAAACCATTTAGATAAATTACCCAAGAACGGATTGTACTTAAGTTATCTTTCTTGTGTTTTGAAAAGAAGTTTGTTTAAGGTAATAAACAGTGGGTATCTGAGGCTGGGCATGGTGGCTCATGTCTGTAATCCCAGCACTTTGGGAGGCCCATGGGGCAGATCACAAGGTCAGGAGATCGAGACCATCCTGGCTAACATGGTGAAAACCCGGCTCTATTAAAAATACAAAAAAATTAGCTGGGTGTAGTGGCGGGTGCCTGTCGTCCCAGCTACTCAGGAGGCTGAGGCAGGAGAATGGCGTGAACCTGGGAGGCGGAGCTTGCAGTGAGCCGAGATCGCGCCACGGCACTCCAGCCTGGACAACTGAGTGAGACTCTGTCTCCAAAAAAAAGAAAAAAAATGGGTATCTGGAGTCCTGATTTTCTTGGAAATGCCTCTTCTTGTTCACTTTATGAAATTCAGATTAGTTTAGGAAATTTTTTCTTTTTTTTTGAGACAGAGTCTCGCTGTGTTGGCAGGCTGAAGTATAATGGCACGATCTTGGCCCACTGCAACCTCCCCTTCCTGGGTTCAAGCGATTCTCCTCCCTTAGTCTCCTGAGTAGCTGGGACTACAGGTGCCACCACGCCTGGCTAATTTTTCTATTTTTAGTAGAGATGAGATTTTACCGTGTTGGTTAGGATGGTCTCGGTCTCTTGACCTCGTGATCCGCCTGCCTTGGCCTCCCAAAGTGCTGGGCTTACAGGTGTGAGCCACCATGCCCAGCCAGGAATTTTTTTTCTATCAGTTCAAAAGATGAAGATCAAGCTGAGAAAAACATTTTTTAATAATCTCAAGTACCAGTTTATTAATATATACATTGAGAGAAATCTGACTGTCTCAGACTGGTGTGGTTGAGCATCCTGTTTTTTTGTTTTTGTTTTTGAGACGGAGTTTCACTCTTATTGCCCAGGCTGGAGTGTGGTGGCGCGATCTTGGCTCACCGCAACCTCCCCCTCCTGGATTCGAGCGATTCTCCTGCCTCAGCCTCCTGAGTAGCTGGGATTACAGGCATGCACCACCAGGCCCGGCTAATTTTGTATTTTTTAAGTAGAGACAGGGTTTCTCCATGTTGGTCAGGCTGGTCTTGAACTCCCAACCTCAGGTGATCTACCCGCCTCACCCTCCCAAAGTGCTGGGATTGCAGAGCATTCTGTTTTTTAAATTAGAAACGTTATGTAGGAAGCAAAACATAAGATTATTTAATGAGTGTAATTTATATCCACAAAAGTTATACTGTTCAAGTATTTATTTAGCATTAACAATAAACTGACTTTTCTAATGAGATGGAACTATTTTGTCATTTGACTAGGGCAGGAATTTTTTTTTTTTTTTTTTTGGAGACAGAGTCCTGCTGTGTCTCCCAGGCTGGAGGGCAATGGTGCAATCTTGGCTCACTGCAACCTTTGCCTCCCGGGTTCAAGCAGTTCTCCTGCCTCAGCCTCCCAAGTAGCTGGGATTACAGGGGCCTGCCACCACGTCCAGCTAGTTTTGTATTTTTAGTAGAGACGGTTTTGCCATGTTGGCCAGGCTGGTCTTGAACTCCTGACCTCAGGTGATCCACCTGCCTCGGCCTTCTGAAATGCTGGGATTAGAGGTGTGAGCTACCACACCTGGTCTAGGGCAGGACTTTTTAATGAATGATCAGGTTCTTTGGAAGCTTTCTGATCCCCAGTGTGTTCCCATTTGGTAGAAGATACATTTCCTTAAAGAATAACTGTCAGGTGTGGTGGCTCACACCTGTAATCCCAGCACTTTGGGAGGCCAAGGCAGGTGGATCACGAGGTCAGGAGGTCGAGACCATCCTTTCCAACATGGTGAAACCTTGTCTCTACTAAAAATACAAAAATCAGCTAGGCATGGTGGTGCATGCCTGTAATCTCAGCTACTCAGGAGGCTGAGGCAGAACCCAGGAGGCAGAGGTTGCAGTGAGCTGAGATTGTGCCACTGCACTCCAGCCTGGCAACAGAGCCGGACTCCGTCTCAAAAAATAAAATAAAATAACACCACCAAAATTAGCCAGGCATGGCAGTGCATGCCTGTAATCCCCCATCTACTAGGGAGGCTGAGGCAGGAGAATTGCTTGAACCTGGGAGTTGGAGGTTGTAGTGTGCCAAGGTCACACCACTGCTCTCCAGTCTGGGCAACAGAGTGAGATCTGTCTCTAAAAAATAAAAAAGATTAACTTTGTCTTTATTTCTCCATTTACAAATCACTTGATTGGCAAATTTACAGCCCTTGGGAATTAGGGAAAGAGGCGCATTGGATGGGGAGAGAAGATATTCTGGAGCGTGATTTTAGTGCCTTTCAGTGCTTGGGGTTTCTCTTCATATGCTTTAGGCATCGTTGACGGTATGGACCGGCCAATTGTTGCCTTCCGTTTTATTTCTTTATAGCACTTTATGCAATCCAGAGTTTAGAATAATCTTGATTTTTAAAAGACACTTAGAACTGGCATGTAGCTCGTAGAACATTATACATCAAGAAAATGTCTGTAGTATCTTACTTAAGGATATATTCAGATTCCTAAGGAATCTCCCCTGGGTGATTCTCAGCTAGCTAGCTATAGGATTGACTTCTTACAGAGTCAGTTATGGATTTAAATTGATATGAAATAGTTAAGCTATTTTAATGTTTATTTTCAGTAGTCAGAAATCAGAAATAGTTACAGTCCAAGAATGAAACAAGTGAAGTGGATGTATACTAATTCATTTACATGAATTCTGATACACAAATATGTGTGTTACGGTGAATTCTTCTGTTAATGTGGAGAGAGAGATGTCACGTCTGATTATAGGTGGGCAGTGACCAATTTGTGTCTTTCAAGGCATTGCTAAGATTGAAAATATGTGGATACACTTAAGAGCTATGATTGGATCAGTGTGTTTCACCCAGAAACATAGGTTTTGAAAACTGTTTGCATGCCGTTGTGGAAGGTATTTCTCACCTTATTTGTTCATGTTTTCATTCTCACCTTATTTGTTCATGTTTTCATTCACATGGTTAGTGTTTTTCAGCTAGTGAGTTTAGAAATCTAAATAGCAGGTCTTGATTAAAAATTTTAAAAAACTATTAGAGAATATCAGTGTGCATGGCATGTAATAAAGGTAAGTATGTTTTGACATACTTAACAAAAGGTAGTTTGACAAAACTAAGTTGTGTGTAGGTGCCATGCAGGGTTAAAATGTTAAGTGCCATGTTTATACTAGCTCATCATACATGTCGTCCATTCCCCATGCACACGCGGTTAGGGTTCAGGTCCCATCACTATAGACGCTCCTGCCACTTCCTGGGTTCCTATCCCTTTTCACAGGCATGCATGATATTTACTGTCTTTTATTCCCTTAATTATAGAAACCGTTTCTCATTTCTCTATAATTTCTTCTTCCCTTTGGAAAAACCCGAGTTTAATTTTCACAGGACAGATATGAATGACTCTGTAGTCCGATGGTCCCTGTTCTGAACAGGGGTCTGGAGAACGAGTGGTTTCAGAGCTGCTGTGGGACTCTGGAGAGCTCATTTCTCAAGGCCCATCACGACGCTGTCTGGTGGCTGATGTTCATGGACAGCTGTTATTTCCTGCATAGGATGGGTTTCTCGGTTTATGATGGGGAGTATCTGTTCACTCATGACATGATTGTGGTTCAATAGAATCGGTAGTAAGTCCTAACCGCTACATTATTTTGTCAAAATGTCAAACTTGGTTTTCAAGCAGTAAAGGATTAGCATGATCTCTCTTAGAAGTTTGGAGAATCATACCCTTTCTCCTGTCCATTGAAACTCAGACTAAAAGACTGTAAATAGACAAGTTAGGCTCTGTCCAACTATTGAAGTGGCAGTTAAGGAAAAAACAACACTGTCTAAGGTAAGCATGCCTAAAAGGGTCTCATGTGGTTAGTTTGGTGGCTCTTCTAGCAGGTGATACTGGATCAAGTGAGTACAAAATGAGGGGGGCGGCTTGAGAACTGGGAGGAATGGAAGTGACTTCCCCACTTCTGCCGGGGGGGGTCTTTAAAGTGGGGACATGTGTGAAGTTGGGGCATGGAAGCATGTTTTCTTCCTGTCTTGATTAGCTTATTCCAGTGCAGGGAAGGGGTCAGATGACGGAGGAGGTCACTTGCAAGGCTAGGGATTGTTTTTCATTAATGCATGCTTTTACAGGAATGTCTTCTCCAGGAAGCAAGTTCAGAATTTTCAATATCCCATAAATTAAAGTTAGTATGCTTTCATTTTTAAAAACATTATGAGCTTAACCTTAACTGTCTTCAAATTTACATTCAATCTTTGTCACTATGTGTATAGAATGCATTTTTACATTGTTGCTGGAGTACATATTTGAGTACATATTTGTGTTGTAGTTTTTTATTCTGTACACATTGTATAGAATATACATATATATAATACATATATAATGCTTTTTTCAAAGGATCAGCACAGCCCTTAGACTTACCCTTTGATGGCAGTGTACATTTCCGTCTTGCTATTATACCAGAATTCATCTGACTTTTTACTTCCTTGGAGGTATTTGGGATGTTTTCAGTTTCTTGCTGTCATAAATTCTAGAATACTGTGATCATTTTTTTTGTTTCAGTGTGCTTTTCAAACAGGCTTTATTTAAACATTGCAAAAGAAACTATTCAGATAAGTGTAAATAGACTTTAAAGTTGAAATGTCTGCTTTATAACGCAACGGTATTTCCAGTCCTCTTACTGTTCTGGATTGGCCTGGGTAAATGAAAGCAGGCCAAAAGATGCAGTTGGTCATCGTAGTGAAATTGCAACGGTCAGGCCTTAATATTCAAAACGCCCCTAGCTTGGAAATAGCCCATGGTGTTCCTCTCCCCCTTTCTTGAGTTTGTTCTTGCTTCTGCTTACTTGCATTTCTTTCCCCACAGTTGTTTGTTGCTGGTTTGATTGTGCTGCTGTTAGATGAGCTGCTACAGAAGGGTTACGGCTTGGGGTCTGGGATTTCCCTCTTTATTGCCACCAACATCTGTGAGACCATTGTCTGGAAGGCCTTTAGTCCCACTACCATTAACACTGGCAGAGGTACATCGCACAGTGACTGCAACTGCACGCGTTTTGCTGGATGTGTGCTGGGAAAACCCATCGTGTCGCAGTACATGCCTAGAGCCATTCTGGTTTGCCCTCCTAGGGGATAAGGAATGCGAATTCTTCAAAACTTAATATGCAGAGATGTGTGGAGTAAGCCACACTACCTCAGTGAGAATAGTACCAAAATTTTAGCCTCTGCTCATTTAAAATTTCAGTGGTTGCAAACAGTTTTAAAATTTCGTTTGTTAACCTTGCTTAAGGCATTGCTGCAGAAGCCATTTATTTGACTGATTTCAGCATCCGTAGGGGGATAACAAGGTAGTGGATTTTAGATTTTTCAAATGGAAAGACTTGTTCATTGAATCCACCCGGAGCACTCCTACTTTGCTGCTCTTCTAATTGGCTTTGTAATAGCACCGAAGTTTTGAAATATTTCATTCTCTCTTTCCCCTTCCTCATCTCCACTTCTAACAGATACTGTCCTAAGTGGTTAATACCTAAACTCTGATCCCAGCCTTAAGAAAATTGTAATGATTATTAATGTTCTTGGTGCAGTAAACCTCAAGGCAGGCTTGATAGAGTGACATCTATCTCTTAATTCTGACATCTCTGCTCTGCTTTGCTGCTTTTTTATTTTTTTCTAAAAATACTCTCTTCCTTCCCTAAAGTAAAGGAGAGGCAAATCTCTATGAATGAAATTTTGCTTTGGTAAATTTTACATTGTATGTTTTCATCAAGAATAGCCTCTTGAGAAAACTTCGGATTTATGCTATAAAAAGATAGATTTGCCTCAATGATCTAAATATTTGTAGAACCTGCTCACATGGCTATATCATAAAGCAAACATTGGCGAATTCTTTTGACTCATATTTTCTGCTGTATACTGGACTTTCACAGTTATTTGTTTGAGCTCTGGGACAGCTTTGGACAAGGAGTCCACAGGTCGTGTCTGTCTTGATTTTACAGGTACTGAGTTCGAGGGCGCAGTCATAGCTCTGTTCCATTTGTTGGCCACCAGGACGGACAAAGTCCGAGCTTTACGGGAGGCTTTTTACCGGCAGAACTTACCCAATCTCATGAACCTCATTGCTACAGTTTTTGTGTTTGCTGTTGTTATATATTTCCAAGTAAGTATAATCTTTTCACCAAAGTAAGTGGGATGTAGACTTTCACTGTGCTCTGGAAGACAATGCCATCTGACATGCTCGTGTTTGACAAGTCAGAGTTTAAGATCAGGGGAAATACAGTTTTGCAATTCGAGTCTCCAGACTCTGATTTTAGGGTGTGAAATATTGGAGTCTCTGTACTTTCTTGGTTTTTGTTTTGGCCCATCAGCAGGAAGCAGACTCTCGACACTTTAAAAGGCAGAACGTCTTCGTTAGCATTGTCTTTGCTTTTTTTTTCCCTGAGAGTTTTGCTCTTGTTGCCCAGGCTGGAGTGCAGTGGCGCGATCTTAGCTCACTCCAACCTCCAGCACCTGGGTTCGAGTGCTTCTCCTGCCTCAGCTTCCTGAGTAGCTGAGATTACAGGCACGTGCCACCACACCTGGCTATTTTTTTATTTTTTATTTTTTATTTTTTTTTGAGATGGAGTCTTGCTCTGTCACCAGGCTGGAGTGTAGTGGCGTAATCTCGTCTCACTGCAACCTCCGCCTCCCGGATTCAAGCGATTCCCCTACCTCCGCTTCCTGAATAGCTGGGACTACAGGTGCCCGCCACCATGCCTGGCTAATTTTTTGTAATTTAGTAGAGACGGGATTTCACCACATTGCCCAGGATGGTCTTGATCTCCTGACCTCAGGATCCACCTGCCTCGGCCTCCCAAAGTGCTGGGATTACAGGCGTGAGCCACCGCACCCACCGGCATTGTCTTTTCATCCTCCCCACTGTTCTTTGTTTTCCCTCTCTGGTCTCTATTCTTTTCTTAATGTGTCTAGTTCCCCCACTTACTCTTGGTTTTCTTTTTTAGGGATTTCGCGTTGACTTGCCCATTAAATCGGCCCGCTACCGAGGACAGTACAGCAGCTACCCCATCAAACTCTTCTACACCTCCAACATCCCCATCATCCTCCAGTCGGCCTTGGTGTCAAACCTGTATGTTATTTCCCAGATGCTGTCTGTTCGATTTAGTGGCAACTTTTTAGTAAATTTACTAGGACAGTGGGCCGTGAGTATTATGTTTATTTATATTATTTATAGTTGATTATAATTTGCATTTCATGGTTGTATTTTTAATGGAATGAGGTCAACATTGGAGCATTTGCTATATTTTCAGATTCACTTACCTATATAGCAGAGTTTAGTACGTATCTGGAAGAACTGGTAAGTGTTGCAGAAGTTAAGATTGCCCAAGTGCTTTTTATTATTTTGCTGTCCAGGAAGCACTTTCACATCTCATTTGAATGACCTTTTAAGCTAAAATTGTGGTTGATTTCATAAAAGTAATTTCCTGTTTTGTCATCTTATTCCAGTATTGTCTATAGTAATGTTTTCTCAAAAATGCTCTTTGCTGTCTGGGCGTGGTGGCTCACTCCCATAATCCCAGCACTTCAGGAGGCTGAGGCGGGTGGATCACCTGAGGTCAGGAGTTCGAGACCAGCCTGGCCAACATGGTGAAACCCCATCTCTACTAAAAATACAAAAATTAGCCAGGCATGGTGGCAGATGCCTGTAGTCCCAACCATTCAGGAGGCCAAGACAGGAGAATTGCTTGAACCCGGGAGATGGAGGTTGCAGTGAGCCGAGATCATGCTGCTGCAGTCCAGCCTGGGTGACAGAACGAGACTCTGTCTCCCAAAACTAAAAATAAAAACTGCTATTTGTGCTGCTAACATATGAGATGCTGGACTCATCCTATCCTTTCCTATCTCCCACCCTGCCTCCAGGCCTCCTCCATTTTTCAAGGTCTGAACGGCAGTAAACCAGCTTGTGATGAGCTGGGCTAGAGACAGGCATGCTGTTAACGAGATGGTAGAGACAGCGCTGCTGCTAGTAATATAATCCTGTACATTCTCATATACATCCCCCTTGTCATAATTTTTTCTAAAACAGTCTAGTCACTTTGTTATTGAAGCGTGCGTTACTGTGGGGCTGAATTTTCATAGGTTTAAATTCTGTCACCTAACAAAGGGGCATTTCCCCTCTTACAATTACAGATTTTAGCCCGGAGTGTTGGCTCTCATCTGTAATCCCAGCACTTTGGGAGACCAAGTAGAGAGGATAGCTTAAAGGCCAGGAGTTGGAGACCTGTCTGGGCAACATAGCGAGACCCCATCTCTACAAAGGAATTTAAAAACTAGCTGGGTACAGTGTTACGTGCCTGTAGTCCTATCTTCTCAGGAGGCTGAGGTGGGACGATCGCTTGAGCCCAGGAGTTCGAAGCTACAGTGAGCTATGATCATACCACTGCATGCCAGCCTGGGTGACAGAGTGAGACCGTGTCTCAAAAATAATAGAATTTTAAAAGACTAATGTCCTTTATTCTTTGCCACAGTATGTAATTCTAGAATTTGCACCCCACCAAAGAATAGTATTTTCTTGTACAGTTATTCTTGCAATATGGTGTTTATTCTGTGCATTTGTCTTCATGTACTATCTTTTTCATTATACCTCTGCTTTTTCATTGTACCTTTCTGCTTTGACTGAATGCCATTTAAAGAAATTGCTTTTTTTTTTTTTTTTTAAAGAGAGTAAGACAGTAACTCTTATGTATCAGTTGAAGGGAATAGGATTCCCTTTATTCATAATACTTCTTTTCCATTCATTTAACACAAATGTGGCTAATGTTATAACGAGGACACGAAAGTTAGAGACAGGAGTAAGAAGAATGCTGTTTCTGTCCTCCTCAGAATAGTCCAGGAGTAGTTATTACTCTGATGAGAATTTGCTAGTGTTAGTGCTTTGAGTAGTTGGTCCTGTGCAAATTGTGTTATGACCTTGAGTAAGCTTCTTCTTAATGAGAGAATTATTGGGAGATAGTGCTTTTGATCTGGGATTAGTGATTCCAGGGGCACAGTAAAGAAAGCATTTCACAGTCATAAATTCAAGAACCAGGTACTGTAATCATTGCAACTAAAAATTGGTTTCTCACCCCCATCTGTATACCCCAAAACTTTACTTAATATGAGCAAATAATACTGTTCCTATTTCTATAAGACTTTTTAAATGTGTAGATAAAAATCCAGTTATTATACTTATTAAAAGATTACTCCTTATAATAACATACAAGCCACATAAAGTTTAGGCAGCAAGTTAAAGTTTTATGTCAATATTTTAGTTGATTGCATTACTGTTTTCATATGGAAGGATCACTCATAGGGCTCTGAATATTCTGACTGGATACTCATAGCTCAGAAATTTTCAGATTTTCAGTATAATCAGAGGTCGATTGTAAATGTAATCATATTCCTGTTTTCAGTAATGGAAGATTTTGTAATATATTACAATTTTTAAAAATGATTCATAATATATTTTCAGTGTCTTGCATGTAACAGGTGCTCATTGTGTAACTTTGAAGGAGTGAAGGTATTAGACACAAAAGGACATTCTGAAGCTACATAGAATGACTAGCTGTACATGCCTTGAACTTAAAACACTGTCATTTCTGAGAAGTTTGAAGTGTCATACAAATGTATTCCTAATTAGGTTGACCACTTGTTCTTTGTACCCCTGTTCTGTAGGATGTCAGTGGGGGAGGACCTGCACGTTCTTACCCAGTTGGAGGCCTGTGTTACTATCTTTCTCCTCCCGAGTCCATGGGCGCCATCTTTGAGGATCCCGTCCATGTCGTTGTTTATATCATCTTCATGTTGGGATCATGCGCATTTTTCTCTAAGACATGGATTGAAGTGTCTGGCTCCTCAGCCAAAGATGTAAGTGTTTGGTTTATTTTAAAATAAAACTCTTGGCGATGCGTGGTGGCTCACGTCTGTAATCGTAGCACTTTGTGAGGCTGAGGCAGCTGGATCGCTTGAGCTTAGGAGTTTTGAGACCAGCCTGGACAACATGGCAAGACCCCGTCATGACTAAAAAATACAAAAAAAAAAAAATTAGCCGGGCATGGTGGTGCGTGCCTGTGGTCCCAGTTACTTAGGAGGTTCAGACGGAGCATTAACACTTGAGTCCAGGAGGTGGAGGTTGCGGTGAGCCAAGATTGCACCACTGCACTCCAGCCTGGGTGACAGAGCGAGATCCTGTCTCAAAAAAATAAAAAAGGCCGGGTGCAGTGGCTCACGCCACTCAGGAGGCTGAGGCAGGAGAATCGCTTGAACCTGGGAGTCGGAAGTTGCAGTGAGCCGAGATTGTGCCACTGAACTCCAGCCTGGCGACAGAGCTAGACTCCGTCTCAAAAATAAATAAATAAATAGATAGATAAAAAATTTTTTAAAAAGTAAAATAGGCCGGGCGCGGTGGCTCACGTCTGTAATCCCAGCACTTTGGGAGGCCGAGATGGGTGGATCACGAGTTCAGGAGATTGAGACCATCCTGGCTAACATGGTGAAACCCTGTCTCTACTAAAAATACAAAAAATTAGCTGGGCACGGTGGTGGGCGCCTGTAGTCCCAGCTACTCGGGAGGCTGAGGCAGGAGAATGGCGTGAACCCGGGAGGCAGAGCTTGCAGTGAGCCGAGATCACGCCACTGCACTCCAGCCTGGGAGACAGCGAGACTCTGTCTCAAAAAAAAAAGTAAAAACTTTGTTTTTGGAAAATTCATATTTAATTGTCAAAATAGTAGTTGATACACTCCTTTATAACTTAAACTTTAATTTATACATTTTTAATGAGTCAGTGTCACCCCAATGGGCTAAATGTTGGTTCCCAAAAGTAAAAAATTCTTAGCTGTTACAGTGGTTTGCAACCCTCCTGCAAAACAAAATCTTGTTTGGTAATTGAAGAAGGGTTGAGAAGCACTGGTTTCATATGGCTAACATGGAATGGAGTGGCACTGAAACTTTGGTTTCCTCAGGCTTCATGTGAATGATATGACAATGTAACTTTCAGGTTATTGTATGTTACTTGTTAGTGTGTGGGAAGCACTTCACATAGAACGTGGTAGATGTAAGCAGTGAAATGTTGGAGTTGGATTTTCAAAGTAGCTTTTCTCTCGGCAGGTAGCTAAACAGCTGAAAGAACAGCAGATGGTAATGAGGGGCCACCGGGATACCTCTATGGTTCATGAGCTTAATAGGTAAGGCCGCTAGATGGACGCCTTTCTAGGCCTGTGTTTGTGTTTCAGTCTTTCAGTGATGGCTAAATGTTTTTCTTTGTTCAAGTTCATATTTAAAGCCCTTCCATTCAGACAAATGAATCAAAATTTCACACAGAACTTGTTTTCCATGTCAAAACCGACAACTGAATTATTAATTGAAATTGTGGTGACTGCTCTGCTCATCCCAGTGGTAAAATCTTGCAGATTAGTGCTGTGTTCAGCGTTGGCTGGCTGCACGTAAAATCACCAGAGAACTTTTAAAAAGGATTTCCCAGGAATTGTGGCTTATTTGGTCTGGGGTGAGTTCCAGACATCAGGGTTTCATTTTTTTGGTAATAGCTTTATTGAGATAAAATTCAGATACCATGTAATTCACTCACCCGAAGTATGTTGTCCAGTGTTTTTTAGTATATTCAGACTTGTACATTCCTAAGTTTGATTTTAAACACATTGTCACCACCCAGAAGGAAACCCTGTACCTACTGGCCCACCCGCCCAACCACCAGCCCCAGGCAGTCACTTTTAACTTCATCTCTACAGACGTGCCTCTTCTGCACATTTCATGTAAATGGAATCATACGATGTGTGTTATTTTGTAAGTGGCTGCTTTCACTTGGCATCATGTTTTCACAGTCCACGTGCTGAATTCTTTTCATGAATAAGATTCGATTGTAGGGCTTTACCACGCTTTATCAGTTGATAGAAATGTGGGTTGTTTCCACTTTTTATGAATAATGCTGTTGTGAACATACTTGTACAGATTTTGTGTGGATGTTTTCATTTCTCAAGGAGTGGAATTGTTGGGTCACATGGTAACTGACTCTGTGTTGAACATTTTGAGGAGCCGCTCAGCTGTCTTCAGGGTGGCTGCTCCCGTCCACATTCCCACCAGTGGTGTGTGAGTTTCCCCTGCTGCCTGTCCTCGCCGGCACCAGCTCTGGCTTTTTAATTTCAGCCATCCCAGTGGATGTGAAGTGGGGCACAATCACGGCTCACCGCAGCCTCCCCCTCTTGGGCTCAAGCGATCCTCCCCACCTCAGCCTCCAGGGTAGCTTGGGACCACAGGTGTGCGCCACCATGGCCAGCCAGCTTTTTTTTTTTCCTGAGATGGGGTCTCGCTTTGTTGCCCAGGCTGGAGTGCAGTGGCACCATCTTGGCTCACTGCAACCTCAACCTCCCGGGTTCGAGCGATTCTCCTGTCTCAGCCTCCCGAGTAGCAGGGATTATAGGCATGCGCCACCACGCTCGGCTACTTTTTGTATTTTTAGTAGAGACAGGGTTTCCTCATGTTGGCCAGGCCGGTCTTGAACTCCTGACCTAATCATCTGCCTGCCTTGGCCTCCCAAAGTGCTAGGATTACAGGCGTGAGCCGCCATGCCTGGTGGGATCCAGATTCCTTCTTTTGTATGGGGGCATCCAGTTGTCCCAGCACCACTTGTTGAAAAGGCACCAGTATTTTTCCTTAAACTTTTTTATTTATTTAGAACACAGACTGCAGAATAGTATGATGGATCTCCAGCTCCAGTTGTCATCATCCTGCTGTTCTTGTTTCACCTCTCACCGCCTTTAATCTTTTTTCAGTATTTTAAATTCCATTTTTAAGTTTTCCAGGTGATTCTACTGTGCAGCCGAGGTTGAATTACTTAAGTGGATTTGCAGAATCTTATGACATAAATTTGTTGATACTTACTCTTCATTCCACAAGAGGGAACGAAAGGTTACTCATTTAAAAATCTTAAACATCTTAATATTTAAATCTGTCCAGGAATCTCATCTCCTGTAAGATCATATATTGTCTTTCTTGGCTGTTGACCGGTTTCTGGAAATTAAGGTCAGAGTCTTTGCCTGGATCAGAGCTCCCGTTCCCACGCCGTGTCCTGCACAGCCCTCCATACAGCAGTCCGTTCCCCCTGGAGTTCAGGGAGGCTTTAGACCCAGCTATGGCTGCTGTGCCTCGACCTGTTTTCGTCTCTGCTGCTGCCTAACTCGGGGTTTTGTCTCCTAGGTACATCCCCACCGCGGCTGCGTTTGGCGGTTTGTGCATCGGTGCCCTGTCGGTGCTGGCCGACTTCCTGGGGGCCATTGGGTCCGGCACTGGAATCCTGCTGGCAGTCACTATTATTTATCAGTATTTTGAAATCTTTGTGAAAGAACAGGCCGAAGTTGGTGGCATGGGTGCTTTGTTTTTCTGAATGTTCAGAGACTTCATTCTGTGCGTGTGAAAGGGAGAACATCTGGACGGATCGCTTTTGTCAGATGACACTGGTGATTCCCCTTTTCTCCCCTCAGTTTCTTGTTTCAAGTGCTGGCTGACCCGTCTCTGACATGGGCACCGAGCTAAGTGTGTGTGCAGCATTAGTACCCGCTGCCTTAAAACTCAAGTTTACATTATTCATTTAAAAAAAGTACATCTAGTGTTGCCTGTAATGCTGGAAACCAATGTATCTACCTTGCTGTGTTAAATCATGACAGTGAGATGGTGACATGGATTCGTTTTGCACATAACATTCAAAACACTTAATATTGCCCCCACTTGTTTAAAAATAAATGTAGTTCAAATTGCCACTTTCCAGTATTTTTGAGCTTATTTAATGAGTTCTGGAACATTTATATCTAATCTATATTTTAGATAATTACTTTTTATACTTTTTTAACTCATGGTATCCCTACTCCCCACCCCACCTCATTTTTATTTGTCCCTTCTCAAAGCAGCCACTTAGCCCACATGGGCAAAATCAAGTGTCCAGTTATTTCTGTCACTAGAAACAACTGCTTCTAAGGCTCCTCCACCTCCTCCTCCCTTCCTAGTGACAGCATCATCGTGCTGTTTGCCTGTATTGGCTATGCCTTCTAACTCCAACCAGTCACTTGAGAATACTCTTTCAAGATTCTAGGCCCCGATTCTTTTCTGTTTAAATCCCTAAAGCAAAGATCTAATTCTCAAGCAATGTCTGTAGTTAGTGGGGGTGAACAATGAGTAATTCATGCTAGGAATTTGTGTCTGTTGTTGTACTCACAGCAGCAACATGAGTGTAAACAGTAGACAATAAATTTTATTTAAGAAAACTGACTCAGTTGTGTTGGAAAAAAAATAAAGAAATCTGATATTAAACATTTTCTAAGATCATTTGTATAAGTTCAGTGTATTTATAAGAAGTCCACCCTGAGATGCCTATAAAAGTCAAATGTAATTACACTTCAAACTTTAATCCTAAATTATTGTCGGACGGTGACCAACTTACGGGTAATCATATATGTGACTAACATTGGGGAGGAAACAGGAAAACAGTGATCTCAAAACCATATCCCAGTCTCCATTTAAAAGCATAGTTCTTGGTAAATCATTTTGAAAACTATGTGCTTTATTTCCCAAAAGATCAAACTTAATTTTTAAAAGACACCCTTTTCAGAAGTATGGGTTTTCACTGCTGTTTAGTTTCTTAAGTGTAGTATGTCTTACGTAGCTTATGCTTACAAAGCCAAATAATCACAGGGGCAAGGCAGATGAAGGCAGGCAGGATGTTAACAATGGCTCGGAGAGCATCTGCCGAGGGCCTCAGACCACTGTTACCATAAAAAACATCGACCCAGTGTTATGATGTCCGATTTTTTTTCCCTAAAGAAGGTGGAAATATGGCTTTTAATAATAGGAAACCTTCAGTTTTTAAATGCAGGGCAAAGAAACATTTTAAAACAGTGCTAGCCAGACTGCCAGTTCTCAAACAGACTTAATTTCCAAAGCACAACCTTTTCATGTTTATAAAAAATAGAAATGGCATTTAGGGATACATCCTAGGATTTGGCTCTCACTTCTAAGTGGCACTCTGAGGAAGAAGGAGAGGATAAGGGTCAGCTGCAGAGGTCATTCCCATGGGGAGTGGCTGGGGAGGAACTGGGCTATGTGGAAAGACTGGGCTGCGCTTCTCTCTCGATTTCAATGATAGCCTGTGGCTTTGAGAGCTAAGAAGAGTTAGAGCTGTGAAGAATCACAATGCCTGTGATTGAAATCGGGATTTTAAAAAGGGTTAGAGGCATAAGGGAAGGCTACCATTATAGGAAGTAGTTGGATCTTAATTTTCACAAGTATAGGGCTAGACAGCTTCATCTATAAAGTTCTGTATTTCCATAATTGTTTTATCTTTAGGAAGTCCAGTGTAAAGACAGTTTCACAGAGAAAAATATCCTGGGCTCAGACAGTGAGCCTGTGGACAAATGGATATACTGTAGCCTTCTGGCATTAGCACCCTGATTTTATCTGGAGAGCCCTTTCATCTGGTTCGTAGGGCCTGGCTTACCCGCTGGAGCCAGGCTAGAAACATGACTTAGGGCTGGATGGGAATCGTCCTGAGACTTCTGTGGGGGCCAGACTGGAAAGTCCTGGAAAATCGTGGAGCTGCTGGAGGCCCTAAAAGTCAATACAAAAAGAGCTAAACTCACTAAAGAGGCTAAGAAAATGGCCCCAGGAACACTGGTAGAACTGCTGGATGACAGGGTTTCAGGCTGTAATGAAATGGGAACCACATCAAGCTGTACTTCTTGCTCCGAAGTACTCTGTATTGGGTTTCACATACTGGCTGATCTTGCTAGTTCTATTCATGGTTTAACATCAAGATATTACTGCCCCAAACCATATCAGTCTTATGGATTTGTTTTCAGAAACTTCAAGAACTCTTTGAGGTAAGGATAGGAAAAGAGATCCTCAAGTATGTGCACATGCTTGAGGGATGGCCCTGAATTTTCATTAGTCTCCTAGCCTCGGTGTAGTGAATGGAATCAACCATTTTCCTTACTTAAAATTAGCTGGTTCAGCTTCAGTAAATAGGTGGACTTAAACTAGTTGTGGATTCTACTGAATCCTACCCTAGTTGGATTCAACTACCCTAGATGAATTTTGCATAGTAAAAATTCAATTAGAAGAGGCCAAAGAGTCTTTTTTTCATTTTAACGCTGTTTTAAACACCAACGGAGTACACGGTTATTTGCATGCCCAGCTACAGAATTTTACAGTGGGGGTTGAGAGTGGAAATAGTTGACCTAATTGGGAACTCAGGTCTGTTTTCCTGTACAAATATCCCTGTCTACCAGACTAGACTAGAAAAGTAATTGAGCTGCAGTTAACTGCTGTTGAGCTTTAAAAAAACTGGAGTAAACGTACTTGCATTTATCTTCTTTTTTGTTAATTTTAGCTGGTTATTGAAATGAGGGTCACAACCTACCTGTAATTTGCAGTTCCATACCACCACCACATCTGTTCTGTGCTTTTATTTTAGGAAAAAGCTAATGGCAAATCTACACGGAACTAAGTTGAACACAAAGTCTTAGTGGAGAAGGCCTGGCGGTCTTGCTTACAAAAATGGCCAGTGTCATATTTGGCCTTAAAATTTCAAGAAGGGCACTTCAAATGGCTTCGCATTGGCATGTTTCAGCGCTAGAGCGTAGGAATAGACCCTGGCGTCCACTGTAAGATGTTCTTCAGCTACCAGCGCTGTGGAAAGCAAAGAAAACAACTTAGACCATGCCATTAAGGAAGGACAAAATATCTATTCAATCAGTATTTGCGGAGCAAGTACTATATGCCAGTTCCTATGCTAAATGCTGGTGATACTTTTTTTTTTTTTTTGGCCTATAAGGATCTTAAAGAATAAAGACTATAAAGGCAAGATTACATTCCTAGCATGAGACAAGAACATCAGGGATAATGATTTTATGTGTTAAAACAGTAAAGTTGGAAGTGTATAGAGCCAGTCACTATACCTCATTTACAGCTGGGGTAGGGCTTTGTTATTCTGAAGCTAGATGGTGATGATTATGTAGGATCTTAGGGATTCCGTCTTTTCTGCTGCTAGGGGATACATATTTTCCCCTGGCAAGTTAAACTGTGTGCATGTTAGGACTGGAGATACACTACCAAGAATGAGGTCTCAGGACCTTATTACCACAGGCTTTCATTAAAATTTCTGTTTCACTCAGATGGAGGTTACCAGATGTAAAATCAGCCTTTTGTTTTCCTAGCCGCTTGTTTGGGAACAAGCTTGGGGACCTTTGCAGGCAGGGAGCATGTCCTACTCTCCTGGGCATAGCAGGTGCTTAGTAACTGGCAGATGCTACTCTTTGTGGCAAACTGATCTTTTTAAAAATTATTATTTATTTTTTATATTTTTGAGATGGAGTCTCGCTTTGTCGCCAGGCTGCAGTGCAGTGCCACGATCTTGGCTCACTGCAACCTGCGCCTCCCGGGTTCAAGCGATTCTCCTGCCTCAGCCTCCTGAGTAGCTGGGAATACCAGCATGCACTACCACGCCTGGCTAATTTTTGTATTTTTAGTAGAGATGGGGTTTCACCATGTTGGCCATGCTGGTCTGGAGCTCCTGACCTCAAGTGATCAGCCTACCTCAGCCTCCCAAAATGCTGGGATTACAGGTGTGAGCCACCACACCCAGCCAGCAAACTGATCTTAAAGTGTAATACCTTCCTTCCGATTTCTCAAATGTTGCTTATTGAATAAATGGTTTTATTACCATGTTTTGATTCTACTAAAGCTAGGCAATTCGGTTCTTTTATCCCTCCTCCTTTATAGCCACAGTCGCCCTCTCTCCACCTCCCCTCACTTACCTCACTTACTCTGTTTTTTCTCCCTCTTCTAAGACCAAAAGGGAAGTTAAGAAGGTGGAAGGGAGAAGGAAGACATTTTTAAAAAAGGATACTCTTCTACTAAAAGATAACCCCGCATGGCATTTCACACTTGCCTACGTCACCCTACTTTCCACACACCTCCTCAAAGGGAGGGGCTGTCATTGTTCCTGTGTTATGAAAAAAGCCAAGAGAGGCTTCGGAACCTGTTTGACGTGACAGCTAATTATGGTCTGCGGAGCCTCAAACCGAGTGGGGCCTGTGACTCTGAGCTGCGCTGCCTCGTACTGATTGTCACGCCTTTCTCTAAATACATGCAAGACAAATTATTGTATCCATTCAGTATGATTGTTCTAACTGTGGCTTTCAGCTGTCAAGGTGGCCTCTACCTTAGATCTAGTTTTTGGAAAGGTGAAGCCGGAGTGGAAGCTGTCGAGGGATCTGAAATCTGATTTTATCCAAATAAATCGCAGCGGCCTTTGAAAGACACACTCAGATTTTCAAACAAATAACAGACATTTCAAAACCAGGTGCCCTGCTTATTCAGTGAAACTGTAAGCCGCTGACGCTCAGGGAAAAGCTTAAGAAACTGGTCTTAAAGCTTCAGGCCAAACAATGCTTCAAGTCACATTTGAAGTAATCACTTAAAAACAGTAGAAAAATCAGGTGTCAATTACCTAAAACACTTATACCCAGTAAAATATTCCCGTGATGAAAAGTGTTGGCTTCTTTCTGGATGAGTGGCAGGGATTTGCCGGCCCGGACGGAGGCGCTCCTTGAAAGGCCCATGCTGCGCCTCCATACGGTGTCTCCTCTCGTGGTTTTATCAAAGGAGTTTTCTCTCCGTAAGCTTACCTACTGTTTACAAAGTCCCTAAAAGATGGGTGGCCAGGAAGTATACAATGCATCTCCATGACCAGTGATTTCTTTTTTCTTTTTTTTTTGACGGAGTCTCGCTCTGTCTCAGGCTGGAGTGCAGTGCCACAATCTCGGCTCCCTGCAAACTCCGCCTCCCGGGTTCACGCCATTCTCCTGCCTCAGCCTCCAGGCGCCCGCCACCGCGCCCGGCTAGTTTTTTGTATTTTTAGTAGAGATGGGGTTTCACCGTGGTCTCGATCTCCTGACCTTGTGATCCACCCGCCTCGGCCTCCCAAAGTGCTGGGATTACAGGCGTGAGCCACCGTGCCCGGCCTATGATCAGTGATTTCTAAGGGCCACACGGCTAGTCTGGTTTATTATGTGAAAAGCGTATCACACCAAGTATACAGGAAATACCTCAAATATTTGTTGGAGTATCATCAATTTCTCCTCGAACATACAGCCTCCACAAAGGACTGTCCCTCATACTAGCATACTCGAGGAAAAGCTAACAGCTTCTCTACCCACACCTTTGCATCGCTATGGATTGAAGGTTTAAAGTGTAGAATCATTTTGGCTACTCAGCAGGAATGTCATTTGGGCCGCTCTGTAGGAGAAAAAGCCCCTACCAAAAGTTTGCACTTGACCCAGAATGCTTTGCTCCTACTTTCAAACTCTGTGCCACCCAGAAGGGAAAATTAGTAGTGGTCACCTGCAAGTTTTACAAGTTGCCAGGCATTTGACTTTAGTGGTATCAAAAAGAGAAAGATACGGAGTTATATTTAGTACCCAATTTGCTGGGATGGGGACGGGGAAACCGGAGAAAGCTGGGTTGCGGTCTGGAGAATGCTTACCATGGAGTCTCTGCAGCAGGTCATTCTTGGGTAAAGAAATGACTTCCACAAATTCTAAACAGACAAAGTGCAAGTGAAAACAAAGCTAACGTCAAGGGCCTACCAAAACAACTCAAAATGTCTGCAGCCATCACCACTACAAGAAGCTGTACACACTCGGCCACGAGGAGTTGTGGAACATACCTCCATCCCCTGGAAATAAACAGAGGGAGAACATTTCAGCAAGGCCTGGAGTGGTAACATGGGAAGACTTTTATGCAAGAGGCGTCAAAAAGGCTTTAAGAATTTCACAGAAACCTGGGTCTCTGCTAACTTAATTTATATACATTGTCAGACTCGAGCAGTATGAAGTTATTGTTCTCCACATAATGTTAAGTGGCAACATTTAAAGCATATTCGATAAGATGTGTATTTTTTATAGATATGAATCTCCATATTGTGGTAAAATATACAGAACATATAAAAACATTTTAACCCCTACAAAGGTACAATTCAGTGGCATTGAATAACATTCAGAATGGTGCGCAACCACCACCAGTATCCATCTCCAGAGCTTTTCATGACACCCAACAGAAACTCGGGATCCACTCAACACTAATTCCCCATCCCTAGTAGCCCTTACTCTACTGTCTTCCTCTTATCAGTTTGTCTATTCTGGGCACCTCAGATAAGTAGAATCACAGTATTTGCCCATCATGTTACCGCATATTTCAGCGTGTGTGTGTGTGTGTGTGTATATTACATTTTGTGCATGCATCCATCTGCTGGCAGACACTTGGGCCGTTTCCACAGAGGCTGCCATGAACACAGGCACACAAGTGTCTGAGTCCCTGTTTCAGTTCTTCTGGGTGTAGACTTAGGAGCTGAAATGCCAGATCATATAATAATTCTGTATCTAATATTCTGAGGAACTGCCAAACTTTCCCACAGTGTGTTATATGTATATGTGCAGTTCAAAAATTAAGATTTATTTATTTATTTATTTATTGGAGACAGGGTCTCACTCTGTAGCCTGGGCTGGAGTGCAGTGGCGCAGTGACGTGATCTTGACTCACTGCAACCTCCGCCTCCTGGGTTCAAGGGGTTCTTGTGCCTCAGCCTCCCGAGTAGCTGGGACTTCAGGTGCGCACCACCACGCCTGGCTAATTTTTGTATTTTCGGTAGAGATGGGGTTTCGCCATGTTGGCCAGGCTGATCTCGAGCTTCTGACCTCAAGTGATCTGCCCACCTCAGCCTTCCAAAGTGTTGGGATTACAGGCGTGAGCCACTGTGCCCAGCAAAAAATAAGACTTAAATTTAGTTGCATTTTAGTTCAGGGATACTGAAACATAAATAAGAACAACTGAAGAGGGTAAGAAGTTAAAGAATATCACGGATACTGATTTACTGTGGTGTACCTATAAATACCCCCTTTAAAAGGATGGGAGACAACACGGAACTGACAGAGACATTAACAGCTTTTGAATCCAAAGTTGCTAAGGATATTATAGAGCGAAGAGAAGTAGTGAATAAGCTGCTGCCCCTTAACAATTACCTAGGCCTTTTTTTTTTTTTTTAAGAGAGACATGGTCTTATTCTGTCACAGAGTGGCGCCATCATAGCTCCTCCAACTCCTGGGCTTAAGTGATCCTCCTGCCTCACCGTCCAGAGCAGCTGGGGCTACAGGGGAACTGACGCCATTTTTACAATACACGTGAAGACGGAAACCAGGGTGATTTAAGTTTCTCACTGTTTACTATTTAAGCCTGCAGCTCATCTTACTAAGTGGGAATACACCTCATATAGAAAACAGGGAAATATGTCATTTAACAATTTTTTTTTTTTTAACAAAGAAAGCATAAAGATCAATGAAGTGGCAAAAGAAAAATGCTAAAATACATGATTAGGAAGAGACAAGAATATTGACGAAGTCTGTTTGAAAGACCAATTCTTTCTATGAAAGACTACATTCTTTTAATAAATCAAACTAGCAGCAAGTTCCAAGACACGTAATGCAACCGCACCACCTTCAGCACAGCTGACGCGCACGTACCTGGCTTCGGCTTCGGCCTGGCGTTTTCGGCATCATCTCCGTTAATGGTGACTGTCACGATGTGTGTGGTACAGTTTGACAAGCCTGGGTCCATACAGACCGCTGTGGAGAGAAGGGACAGTCAGATGCGTCAGTCCCTGTGGCATTTGTTTCACTACGGTCTTAGGAAGAAGATGCGTCTCGCAGCTCAGCGTTGACGTGGAGGTGATGCAGGAAAACTAGTTCTCACATTTGGTAGGCAGACGGGCAGGCTGCAAAGCATCTGGGCACACTCACTCTCCCCAGAGCGCCCGAGTCAAGCTTGCTAGGTCTGCGGGCTTAGATGGTACTGACAAGTTGTAAAACCTTTCACCACAACAAACTCAAAAAATCTTCCAGTGATGAGGGTAGCACATGGATGAGGTGGGTGAGCAATAAAACTCAGGGTGTGGGAAATTCCAAAAGGCAATTTATTTGTTTTTTGAAACAGAGTTTCACTTTGCTCTTATTGCCCAGGATGGAGTACACTGGCGTGATCTCGGCTGACTGCAACCTCTGCCCTCTGGGTTCAAGTAATTCTCCTGCCTCAGTCTCCTGAGTAGCTGGGATCACAGGTGTGTGCCCTTTTTTTTTTTTTTTTTTTTTTTTTTTTTTTTTTTTTTTGAAGTTTGCTCTGTCACCAGCTGATGCAGTCGATTCAGCTCACTGCAGCTCCGCCTCCGGTCCCTCCCCCAGCCCCAGTAGCTGGGACTACAGGCCGCACTCGCCGGCTTTTTTTTGTATTTTTTGTAGACGGGTTCACCGTGTTAGCGGATCGTCTCGATCTCCTACTGGTGATCCCCATCTCGCTCCAAGTGCTGGTTACCTGAGCCACCGCGCCCGGCCTTTTTGTATTTTTAGTAGAGATGGGTGGGCTTTACCATGTTGGCCAGGCTGGTCTCGAACTCCTGACCTCAGGTGATCCACCTGCCTTGGCCTCCCAAAGTGCTGGGAATACAGGCGTGAGCCACTGCACTCAGCCAAAAGGCAATTTAATTTCATTAACTCTCCCCCAACTTCAGGCCCTTCTGATTCCAGTTTCCTCCTGAGTGGGGAGATTCACTTACACTCAGTGACCAGTCCTAATCTATGATTTCTCTTCAGTGAATTCTGAGCATAAAGAATTCCCAAATAATCCATCCCTTCCCACACTGAGGAATCTATCGCTTGGTGAATTTTCAAGTACTACCAACCTGGAGAACATTCGGCAACGTCCCCTTTGTAGCCGGTTTCTTCCTCAAGCTCCCGGAGAGCAGCTGCTTCTGGGGTTTCACCGTCGTCTATGAGACCTGTAAGTTCAAATCATTGGTATGATGGGAGCGGGAAATCCGGTTCTTTGAACCCCTCATTCTTCTTCTTCTTCTTCTTTTTTTTTGAGATGGTGTCTCGCTCTGTTGCCCAGGCTGGAGTGCAGTGGTGCGATCTCGGCTCACTGCAACCTCCGCCTGTCCAGGTTTAAGCAGTTCTCTGCCTCAGCCTCCGGAGTAGCTGGGATTACAGGCACCTGCCACCATGCCTGGCTAATTTTTTGTAATTTTAGTAGAGACGAGGTTTCACCATATTGGCGTCTCACCGTATTGGCCAGGCTGGTCTTGAACTCCTGACATCATGATCCACCGGCTCGGCCTCCCAAAGTGCTGGTATTATAAGTGTGAGCCACCGCGCCTGGCTGAACCCCTCATTCTTCTAACACAGCTGCTACCGCACTGCGTTAGAAGAATCAGAGCACTGTGAAAAGCGGCCTTACGGAGAAACCTGAGGATTGGAACTCTTTTTTTTTTTAAAGATAGAGTCTCACTGTCACCTAGGCCGGAGTGCAATGGTGCAATCTTGGCTCACTGCAACCTCTGCCTCCCGGGTTCAAACAATTCTCCTCCCTCAGCCTCCCGAGTAGCTGGGACCACAGGTACACACCACCACGCCCGGCTAATTTTTGTACTTTTTGTAGAGGCTAATTTTGCATTTTTAGTCTCGCCATGTTGGCCAGGCTGCTTTCGAACTCCTGGCCTCAAGTGATTCACCCGCCTCAGCATCCCAAAGTGCTGGGATTACAGGCTTAAGCCACCGTGCCTAGCTTGGAATTTTTATAGAAACAAAAAGGCAAAGAATATAGCTCTGAGCAGATGAATCAGATTCTGATGGCATCACCCAGTCATCCTAGTCAGACCCAGATCCTTCATGATCCTTCCTGACCATCTCCACGCTGCTCTGCACAGCACAGGAAGCATCTGTGAGATGTGACTTGGTGGTGGCCAACTGGCTTAGGCTTGGGAGCTTGCTGTGTGACTGTAGCACAGGAAGCCGGTTCATATTCTGCTTCCTTACAGGTAGGATGCTGTCAGCATCACCTGTCTTGTCTTCCTCCCAGTAAAACACTGAGGCCCAGGAATGAAAGGCCAGAAAGGAGCAAACTGGTGGACGTTAGGGGACTCCCATGGCCACTGTGAGGAGTGAACAGAGAGGCCAAGGAAGAGGAAGGGAGCAGCAATGCAGACTCTTGTTTCCTGAAAGGAATTAAATATAATGAGGCTGATCACACCTGTAATCCCAACACTGGGAGGCCGAGGTGGGTGGATCACCTGAAGTCAGGGGTTCGAGACCAGCCTGGCCAACGTGGTGAAACCCCATCTCTACTAAAAAACAAAAAAATAGCCAGGTGTGCTGGTGCACACCTGTAATCCAGCTACTCGGGAGGCTGAGGCAGGAGAATTGCTTGACCCTGTTAGGCGGAGGTCCAGCTTGGGCAACAAAAGCAAAACTCCATCTCAAAAAAAAAAAAATTAAAAAAAAAAAAAAAAAGAAAAGAAAAACTCAGGCTGGGTGCAGTGGCTCACGCCTGTAATCCCAACACTTTGGGAGGCTGAGGCAGGAGGATCACTTGAGGCCAGGAGTTTGGGGCCAGCCAGGGCGACAAAGCAAAAGCCCATCTCTACACAAAATTTAAAAATTAGTCGAATGTGGTGATGCACGCCTGCAGACCCAGCTACCCAGGAAGCCGAGGCAGGAGGATCACTTGAGCCCAGAAGGTCAAGGCTGCAGTGAGCTGTGACTGTACCACTGCACTCCTGCCTGGACAACAGAGCTAGACATAGTCTCAAAAAAAGAGCCCGGGCATGGTGGCTCACACCTGTAATCTTAGCACTTTGGGAAGCTGAGGTGGGCAGATCACTTGAGCCAAGGAATTTGAGATCAGCCTGGGCAACATGGCGAAACCCCATCTTTACAAAAAACAGAAAAAATGAGGTGGAAGGATCACCTCAGCCCGGGGAGGTTGAGGCTGCAATGGGCTGTGATGGTGCCAGAGCACACCAGCCTCAGCAACAGAGACCCCATCTCAAAGAAAAAAGAAAAAGTCAGAGAATAAATTATTAATGTTAATATTAAAAGTAATTAAATAGCCTGGCCAGGCGTGGTGGCTCAGGCCTGTAATCGCAGCACTTTGGGAGGCTGAGACCAGCCTGACCAACATGGAGAAACCCCGTCTCTACTAAGAATACAAAATTAGCTAGGCGTGGTGGCGCAAGCCTGTAACCCCAGCTACTCAGGAGGCTGAGGCAGGAGAATCACTTGAACCCGGGAGGTGGAGGTTGTGGTGAGCCGAGATCATGCCATTGCACTCCAGCCTGGGCAACAAGAGCAAAACTCTGTCTCAAAAAAAAAAAAAAAAAAAAAAAAAAGGTAAATTAAATAGCCTTCAGTAACATGGTGAGGAAATGAGAAAAATGATAGTTGTTAACCATATGTTACCACTGGCCGGCCTTTTAAAATATAAAACCTTGGCTGGGTGCGGTAGTTTAGGCCTGTAATCCCAGCACTTGGAGAGGCCAAGGCTCTTCATTTTATTTACTTTATAACGCTTTTGTTGTTATTGTTGTTTTAATAATAAGGTCATAGCCAGTCCATTTGGAAGAATAGGAGCTAACAGAGGCTGGGCACGGTGCCTGTAATCCCAGCACTTTGGGAGGCCGAGGTGGGCAGATCACCTGAGGTCAGGAGTTTGAGACCAATCTGGCAAACATGATGAGAGCCCATCTCTACTAAATATACAAAAATTAGCTGGGCGTGGTGGCTCATGCCTATAATCCCAGCTACTAGGAAGCTGAGGCAAGAGAATCTCTTGAACCCGGGAGGTGGAGGCTGCAGTGAGCTGAGATTGTGCCACCGCACTGCAGCCTGGACAACAGAGCAGGACTCCATCTCAAAAAAGAAAATAATAATAATAATAATAACAATATACCACTAATAATAAATAGATGAGATTTAATCTCTTTAGATGGGAATAATCCAATAAAGTCCTACAATAATATTAGGCAATAAATTCTTCAGAGTTTTAATTACTGTGCAATGGAAAAAAATATTCTAGCTAAAATGAAGAGTCTCCTCGGCCTCTTTGCACACAACAGAGCAAACTGTCTTCTCCATTCATATTTCTTGGAGTTACGAGCCTGGCCTGGGCTGGGCACGGTGGCTCACGCCTGTAATCCCAACACTTTGCGGGGCGAAGGTGGGTGGATCACCTGAGGTCAGGTGTTTGAGACCAGCCTGGGCAACACAGTGAAACCCTGTCTCTACTAAAAATACAAATATTAGCCAGGTGTGGTGATGCATGCCTGTAATCCCAGCTACTCAGGAGGCTGAGGCAGGAGAATCGCTTGAACCCAGGAGGCGGAGGTTGCAGTGAGCCGAGATCACACCACTGCACTCCAGCCTGGGTGAGAGAGTGAGACTCCATCTCAAAAAAAGAAAAACAACAACAACAACAAAAAAAGCCTGGCCTACTTATCAATGGAAATTTCCTGTCGGGGCTGATGGCTAATGACAAACAATGAAATAAGCTGAAAAGGGGAAGGGCAATTACTCAAAAGGCTGGAGATGACCTGGCGCAGGGGCTCACGCCTGTAATCCCAGCACTTTGCGAGGTCAAGGCAGGTGGATCACGAGGTCAGGAGATCGACACCATCCTGGCTAACACGGTGAAACCCTGTCTCTACTAAAAATACAAAAAAATTAGCTGGGCGTGGTGGCATGTGCCTGTAGTCCCAGCTACTCGGGAGGCTGAGGCAGGAGAATCACTTGAACCCAGGAGGCGGAGGTTGCAGTGAGTTGAGATCGCGCCACCACACTCCAGCCTGGGTGATACAGTGAGACTCCGTCTCACAAAAAAAAAAAAAAAAAAAGCTGGAGGCAGCATTGCCAAGAGGAGGGTGGGATGGTGGGAGGTGGCCTTGTGTCACCTTCACGGGTTCAGAGGGTTGTTGGGGTGTCCTGGGGGCCTCGCTACAAAATGGTTTAGTTTTACTTAAAACCACAAGGACAGATTAAAAACTGCAGAGCTGAGCTTTGCGATTCTCAGGCTTTACCCTGGTTCAGGCCAACATCCCTAAGCAGCAATTGGATGTTGAGTGACTCACCTGCAGGGAACTCTATGCAGTAGCCCCCCATTGGTGGCCGGAACTGTTTCACCAGAACGATACACTCATAGTGAAGCGTTCTCTGCAGCACGGGGATGACTGCGACACCTGTCACCAGGAAATGGAACCAAGGAAATCCCTAATGAGAGGTCAGCAATGCCAGCACCTTGTTCAGCGCAAGCTAATGAAAATCCCAGACTTTAAGCAACTCCGCTTTAATCTACAATACTGGCAGTTAATCTTGGAAGCTATTTTAAAAATGTAATTAAAAATAATCACTTCTATGTTGTTTACACTTTCTTTTTTCAACAAAAAGCCTGTTTAATTGTCAGTTTCTTAAAACTAAAATCAGAACTAAAACGAAACACTTCCTACAGGTTCAAGGATGTAAGGTTGCCAACTATACCACCCTTCCACAGACCCACTTCCCAGCACGTGGCAGCCCTACCACTGGTGAGGCCACAGCCGTCCCCGTGCTCCTGGGCCAACTTTGAGCAAGAAATCAAGTAAGCTCCACTGTGTGCAATACATGCTAGCAAGACTGACTTTCCAGTTCTAGAGTAAAAGACCTTTTCTCTCACATTATTTGGCCTTCCTTAAAACATAAAAACGACTGGGTTTCAGAAAACACAAAGTACCCAGGAGGGTCCCCTGGCTCCACATAGCTTCCTGTCTGTGAAGCCAGCAGCTGCAGCACAGCGACTGTTGGCTTCCAGCAAAAACGGAAACCAAAACCAAATGGAAAAATAAGAAAAGCCTAGTGCCCAACTTCCCCTCGACTGGAGTGATTCTCAGGATTGTTTGTGGGCTCTCTGCAGTCAAGGCATTCATGCCTGGAGGGGAGGGTGAATGGAACAGGCTTTGCCCAATTAATTCCATGTCCTCATCAACCTGTAAAGCAAGTGGTCCCTAAGCATAAAAGTGTGCCAAGTAACTTTTCCAAACTAAAGGCTCTCACCTAGATCCTTCGAACGGGACACAAGGATTTCTAGAGTCATAACACGTCTAGACGCAGTGTGTGGCTTCAAACTATATTGATTTACATTTAGTTATAAACATAGGACAACTTCCCCTCAAAACACTGTTCTGAGCTTAGATAGCAGAAGCCAGAAGTTACTTATAAAGAAAGCTTAATTTAGTTACATTACATAGTACAGCAAAAACTAACAGGAGATTTAAAGACACAACATAATAGGAGTTAACTTGGTTCCGCTGAAAACCCTCTTAGGGTCACAAGTGCTGACTTCCTTTCTAAAGGGTTGGAACAGGTTTGCACTCCTACCATCCGCAGTCTGCTCTTTCCTGGTTGTACGTTTCACTGATTCCCAAGTTCTGTTCAGGCAGAGAAGAAAGAGAAAGTCGTTAGTGCTAAAGAGGAGAATTTTCTTAGGTTTTCTGTGCACAACCAGAATGTCTTAAATTCAATGCATGCAAATGTACTCATGATATTGGTCAAGAAGACCACAGCAATAAAGGTCTGCATTAAAAAAGCTAATTCTGCTTTCCTATAGCTTCTGAAAATTAACAACGAAAACTCTTGCCACCCTACACCTCACCCTCTGGGTGCCCCAGAAACAGAAAGCCTGCTGAGCACGTGAGCTGCCGCTTTCTCAGAACATTTTAGTTTGGACCCTATGTCTCTGGGCAAGGAGCACAGCCAGTGGTGGATTAATAAGCAGGTAATGCAAATGAAGCTGTAGGAAAAGGCTCACCCTGTCTCTAAGAACAAAAGCTACTGTGGACAACGTGAACTATTGAGATTTTTCTATTATTTCACTTTTTAAAATATGTGACCTAAAATACACAATTTAAGAAGGAAGAACCTTCCCATTTATTAATGGAAGAATTATTAAATGTAGGCAAGTGTGAGATCTTATCTAGAAAAAGTGGGCTGAGTAACAGTACAGTCCTGCTCTCTTGTATGGCTTTGTTCCTGGTGAGCTATTGGTTTCTGACTGGTACCCAACTCAGTTTCTGGGTAGCATCCGTGCTATTCTACCTTCTGGCCTTGGAACATGGGGCCCAGTTGCACAGGAAGCCCCGTTACTGAATCAATGATGCAGCTTAAAGGGGTGAGGCATAAAAGGAACATTCCCCCTTCACTCTCTCCTCCCTACAGTAGAAAAAGCAGTGGTAAGAGACCGGAGTGGAGAAGCAAACGATTTTAGGATCTCTTTTAAAGGAAGTGAGACATGTGGGTGGCTCTGGGGCTTGGGATAAAAAGGAGTTACCACCTGTATCTCAATAGTAAGAGTTCTAAGATACCCTCCTCGGAAGAACACTCCTGCTCATGCTTTCTATCTGGCTGTCCTTAAAATTGGGACCGTGTCATATTTCCATTAAAATTGTTCAAATATTTAATCTGCTTTTTAAAAAACAAAACAAAAAGACTGTCTGGAAATTGTAGGTCTTTCAGCATCGCACCCAAATTCTGAAGGGCAAATATGTCGAAATGAACACAGGAAAATCAAACAGACTTCTATGACAACTCACAGCCGCCCAACATTCCTGTTAGTAGCAAGGAGCTGACCAACAAGCAATGCTGGTAAGTAAATCATACAGATTGCAAGAGATGAAACACCTTTTGGCATAGCTCTCTCTGCTGCCTCCTAAGGTTAGTCCTAAAGACTGAAGAACAGTGCTGGGAAAAGCACTGAAGGTCCCATCCCAAACACTAGGAATAAGGGAAACAAAAAGAGGAGCATCATTATCGTGGTTAAGGTGAAGGAAATAAGCAGTAACGAGCCGTAAATCACGAGCGATAAAACAGAAATGCATTGATAAGAAATCGTGAAACAAGACTGCCCCGTGAGAGCTCCAACTGTAGAGGGCCTGTGCTGTGAGATGCGCACCTGGCTGGAAGTCCGCTCTTAGTCTCTGCCTGCCTACCAGCTGGGCCCAGAGCGCCAGCCTCCTGGAGACTCTTCTCTCCTTTGTAAAAAGCAGGAAGGAGTAGGTTACCTCCAAAACCTCTTCTAGCTTTAGGATTCTGCTTCCAGTGAGATCATCCTATTCCTAGTCTCCTTAGTTACAGGAGAGCCTGCTGGCCTTCCTCCCTCTAGTTCACCAACACGAGAGGCAGGACGGCCACAGGGGGGGACTTCGGCACTGTCTTCAATGTCAATAAAGACACACACTACTGGGCCGGGCGCGGTGGCTCAAGCCTGTAATCCCAGCACTTTGGGAGGCCGAGACGGGCGGATCACTAGGTCAGGAGATCGAGACCATCCTGGCTGACACGGTGAAACCCCGTCTCTACTAAAAAATACAAAAAACTAGCCGGGCGAGGCGGCGGGCGCCTGTAGTCCCAGCTACTCGGGAGGCTGAGGCAGGAGAATGGCGTAAACCCGTGGGGCGGAGCTTGCAGTGAGCTGAGATCCGGCCACTGCACTCCAGCCCGGGCGACAGAGCCAGACTCCGTCTCAAAAAAAAAAAAAAAAAAAAAAAAAGACACACACTACTGGAATATTTTTATATTTCTAAAATCAACCCCACATCCCCTTTCATGAATGAGATGGTGGAACACAGGATTCTCTAGCTGCTATTTTCTCTCTTAGACTCGGTCCTCTATATCCGTGGGTTCCACATTCGTGAATTCAATCAACCACAGATTGAAAATATTTCGGAAAAAAATGGATCTATATTGAACATGTCCACGCTTTTTCTTGCGTTTATTCCCTAAGCAATAGAGTACAACAACTGTTTACACAGCATTTGCAATGTATTAGGTGCTGTGATTTCTCTAGAGATGAAGTGCATGGGAGGATGTCCGTACATTATAGGCAAATACACATTGAATATATGCAATTTCATACCAGGGACTTGAGCATCTGTGGATTTTGGTATCTACAGCGGGGTCCTGGAACTAACCCCAAACAGACACCAAGTGACAGCTGGACAGGTTGAGAATTCCTTACCTGAAATTGAGGGGCTGCAAGTGTTTCAGAGTTTGGTTTTTCAGATTTTGAAATATTTGCCTTACCCTCTGGGTCTTTTTTTTTTTTTTTTTTTTTGAGACGGAGTCTCGCTCTGTCGCCCAGGCTGGAGTGCAGTGGCGCGATCTCGGCTCACTGCAAGCTCCGCCTCCCGGGTTCACGCCATTCTCCTGCCTCAGCCTCCTGAGTAGCTGGGACTACAGGCGCCCACAACCGCGCCCGGCTAATTTTTTGTATTTTTAGTAGAGACGGGGTTTCACCGTGGTCTCGATCTCCTGACCTTGTGATCCGCCCGCCTTGGCCTCCCAAAGTGCTGGGATTACAGGCGTGAGCCACCGCGCCCGGCATCCCTCTGGGTCTTATGCAGGCCTTTTTGACATTTTCAACAGTACCTTTACCCCACAGAGCAGAAAATAAGCAAAAGGACCCCACAGTGAGTCATGCACGTAGGTCTCAGCCCCGTGGAGCGTGCTGCAGGGAAACCGCTGCTGGGGCGTTCGGCCTGCACACCTGCCATTTCATGACCCTCTGTGGGCATGCCTGCGGAGGGAAGCTGCTGTGTGCGTGCAAAGGATATATCGGGCCGGGTGTGGTGGCTCATGCCTGAAACCCCAGCACTTTGGGAGGCCAAGGTAAGAGGACTGCTTGAGTTCAGGGGTTCGAGACCAGTCTGGACAACACAGTGAGACTCTGTCTCTACTAAAAAAAAAAAAAATAAAAATTAAATAAATTAAAAAAATAAAGGATATGGCTGGAGGCGGTAGCTCATGCCTATAGTCCTAGCACTTTGGGAGGCCAAGGTGGGTGGATCACCTGAGGTCAGGAGTTTGAGACCATCCTGGCCAACAACCCTGTCTCTACTAAAAATACAAAAATTAGCCAGGTATGGTGGCACACACCTCTAGTCCCAGCTACTCGAGTGGCTGAGACAGGAGAATCGCTTGAACCAGGGAGGCAGAGGTTGCAGTGAGCTGAGACCACACCACCGCACTGTAGCCTGGGCAACAGAGCAAGACTATGTCTCAGAAAAAAATAAATAAAAAATAAAAATAAAAGGATATAGCAGAGCTGAAGGGGAGGGTCCCTTTCCCCCGGGGGGACACTGAATGCCCGTGCTGTATGCCTGTGTTTTGACTGAGCCTGTCACATGCGGTCAGGTGTGGAATTCTCCACCTGGGGCATCAGGTTGGCACTGAAAAGGTTTTGAATCTTGCAGAATTTTGAATTTCAGATTTTCAGATTAGGGCTGCTCAACCTGTACACACAGGCTTTTATATCCGGTCAGAGATAACACATCCTATAACTTATACATCGTGGCATACTAGAAAGTACAAAGATTCATTCTTCAAAGGGTGACATTCTGGTATGAGATATTAGTGCTTTACGTAAGTCCTCTTCAGAGGCCAGGAAGAAAAACCTATGTATGCAAGAATGGACATGACCATGCTATAAATATGGTAGTTTGGTGGGTTTTACAGCCTATTCCCAATCTACTGAAACGGATATTCTGGAAGTGAGACTTCATCCTATTTTCAGAAAAGTCCTCATGTGATTCTGATGTACATCCCTGATTAGGAAATGCAGGAAGGGCAGAAGACCAGTCAGGCGAAGAGATAAGCTGGTGCGAATACATCTTTTTTTTTTTTTTTTTTTTTTTTGAGATGGAGTCTCACTCTGTCGCCCAGGTTGGAGTGCAGTGGTGCGATCTCGGCTCACTGCAATCACCACCTCCTGGGCTCAAGCAATTCTCCCGTCTCAGTCTTGCCTGAGTAGCTGGGATTACAGGTATGTGCCACCACGTCTGGCTAATTTTTGCATTTTTAGTAGAGATGGGGGTTTCACCACCATGTTGGCCAGGCTGGTCTCGAACTCCTGACCTCAAGTGATCCACCTACCTTGGCCTCCCAAAGTGCTGGGATTACAGGCGTGAGCCACTGCGCCTGGCCTCAAATACATGTTTAGACTCATTAGAGTTGAGGGCTATGTTTTGTGTTATAAACTTAATTTGATAGGAAAAAGAGAACCAGACTGTATCAGTATACATTGGGTTCCAACCTCTCTATAGTTTCACAAATAAAAATACATTTGAACATACGGTGCTCCCTAAGACTTGGGCCTTGCCACATTTCTGTATTGGGTTTGGGCCCTACTTATTTCATACATTTAGTTTTCCATATCAAACTCACTTGGCATTTTAAGTGAAGAGTTACAGTCTTTCATGGTTGATGGATCATACTGTGCTTAGCTTTCTTACTGCTGGTTTTAATTCAACAGTGCTATCTATCTCTTAGTATGTTCCCCACAGCTCTCCTACAAAAGGCCTTCTCAAGGGCTTTGCTAGTTTAGTAGACAGATATCATCAAAATTGTTTACTGGCAAGCCCACGTATTTGCATCTTGATGATCTATTTCATCACAAGGAAACCATGTACTCTTACTGGATCACTTTGCAAATGGAGTTTTCATATTGATGGACTTGTATCATGTGATCTGGTTACTAAGTTTCGTTCTCATTCTGTTGTGCTCCTTTTCATATTTCACTAAGTAAAAAATTTATTTTCACACTATTTTCTTCTGAGAGTTTACCGTATCAAAAGATTACTATGCAAAAATCTGGAAAGTAAAAGAAAAAGGGTTAACCACATAGCTTTTTTCTCATTGTGCTACAGTTTTCCTTCCGGCTTTTTCTTACACATTATTTGGCAGAGTTTGAAAAGCATATACACACTTTGCTACTTTGTTATCAACTTAGGAAGTTTTCCCGTATTGCTAGGTTGTCTTCAGAATCTGCTTTTTAGACAGCTGCAGAGATTTTACCAAGGCAATACGCTATAACAATTCATTTCCTATTTTTAAGATATTTAGGTTGCTTTCAGTTTTTCTGTCTTTTAAATTTTGGGTGAACATTTTCTATACATAAATTTAATTCTGAATACTAATTTACTTAATATTTTCTTTTGCTGTTGGGTTTTTTTTTTTTTTTTTTTTGAGGCAGAGTCTCAGTCTGTCACCCAGGCTGGAGTGCTATGGTGCGATCTCAGCTCACTGCAACTTCTACCTCCCGGGTTCAAGCAATTCTCCTGCCTTAGCCTCCCAAGTAGCTGGGACTACAGGTGTATGCTACCACGCCCAGCTAATTTGTGTATTTTTAGTAGAGATGGGGTTTTGCCATGCTGCCTAGGCTGGTCTTGAACTCCTGACCTCAACAGATTCGCACCCCTGCCTGGCCTCCCAAAGTGCTGGGATTACAGGCGTGAGCCACCACACCTGGCCCTTAACACTTTGTTAAAACTGGGATTACTAGGTCAAAGGGTACAATATTTTTAGGGCTATTGATACATATTATGAAATAGGGTGTACAAAATGTTTTTTCCTGATTTGCATTTCCATGAGGCAGGCGCACATACCTCAAAATTAGCAATGTTGTTGTTTTCTCTTTATTTCTTCTTATTTAGAAATTAAAAACTGATTCTACTAGAAGGAAGCAACATGTATGGTTAATTATTCTGTCGCCTTATCAGCTTAAATTAGGTTTGGCCCAAAAGTTTTAGGTCTATACTTGTCTACTTAGGGAGAATGGTATTAAAATAGTTTTCTGATTAGTTATTGTAACACACTTACAACCCAATTTTATTTAGCAATTATAAATGATCCAAACATCCTAACACTGGAAAAACAGCTAAATTAGATTCTTTATTTAAAACAGTTTACAAAAAAGAAAACATCAAAGTTTATGTAAAACACTCAACGGATAACCTGAGAACCCAAATAATGGACATTTTATAAGAAAAAAAAAGTTTACCTAGTTTTACCAGTAGGATCCATGTACGTTGTTTTTTCAAGCTTGACCCATTTTCCTTCTGAAATTAACTAAAAGGATATCAGATAATAAGTTGGGAAACCTTCAAACCAAGCTGTTTTTATCTAACAGGGTTTTTTCTTTCACATTTCCTCTGTCCTTCCCCAGACTCCCAATAATCATGTTTCCTTCCCAATAACTTGTGGGCACGTTTTTCAGTTCAGAGTAGGTAGGTATTCAGGGTTTTTTTTTTAAAGGGCCTTTCTGCTTCTTTTTGAAATTTCTTGGGGTTAGTAGTAACAGGTGAAAAGAAATGACAGTCTAAAAACTTCTGGGAGTTGGTGGCGAGGGTGGGGCATGGAGGTAACCGGAAGGGAGCACATAGGGTGAGGGTCTCCTGACCTGGGTGCATACAACACAGGTGAGTTTAGTATGTAGAAACGGCCATCTCTAGACACTGGTATTTTCCTGTCAGTGATGACACAGGAAGGCGGACTGTGGGGAAACAAGGTCCGGGATTGGATCTCCTATCATGACACACGGGTTTCTCACCCAACCGCAGATGGACACCCCAGGTTCCTTCTGCCTAGACATTGGGGAGTTCTGGTGTTGAAGACTAACTTACCTATGGCACTATACTGAACTGAGAGGAAAGCGTCACTGCGTATAAAGCAGTAACCTTTTTCCTACTATCCTATCTTTCACTTCTTGCCAGCAGCAACCTAATAATTCTCAGCAGATCTGTTCACAGACAACATGGAAAGATTTTTAAATCAAAAGAATTCCAGAAAGGTGTCAAGATCAGAGTTCCAAGATGAAGGACTTAAAATTTATCCACTGCAATGGTTCCTGCAGGAAAAGACTTTTAAAGCTAAATTGAATAACACACAGACATACATTGGTTCTAGAACTCATTGGAATTTAGACTACAATTAACAACGTCGGTTTTTATTGTTCTTAAACCCTCATGTTGCGACCATAAACAACCAAGTTGTGACAACTACATATGAAATATCTCAGTCCTCAACTGCATATATTCTTTCTTCTTCTATCTAGGGAAACACAGTAAGGATTAAGAATTTTTCTGTTAAGAGCCCAAATCTACCTAGAGTCTCAATTTCACTAATACACAGACCCACTACTCCTCCCACACAAGAGCAAAATGTGCCCGAGTCCAAAAAAGGGAGTAGGAAAAATCTTCATGACCTTCTTCAAGAATGAAAAACCACCATTTGTAACCACAAACAGCCTATGTATTTCTATTAAACTCAGATTCATGTGGGGGAAGGAAAGGAAAATGAAAACCAAGTTATACCTCCTCTGAAATAATATATTGTTTGCCATTCTGAGAAGATTGCGTTGGTTCTTGGCTCTCCATTTTCAAACCAGTCTTTACAGCCCTCAGGTGAGAAGTTCACCCTGCAAGGTAACGAGATTTGTTTAGGCTAAAATTATTTTTCCGAATTAAACATTAGTCCCCAGGCCACTAGTCAAAGTACTTAAATAGCAAAAAATTCATCTGCCATCAACGCTGCCTGTCTCAGTATCTGAGGGAACTGCCACAGGTGGAAACGTGAACAGGGAGGCCTGGGGATAAGGCAGGAAGTGACAGCAGTCCCTGTCACGCTCAGCTACACCAGCCAAGTTCCTGCTGTGCCTGTTCTAGGCACTCAGAGGTCGACCTTCTTCATCAGATTTTTCTTTTCTCTTTTATTTTTTGAGAGTCTCACTCTGTCGCCCAGGCTGGAGTGCAGTGGCACGATTTCAGCTCACTGCAACCTCCGCCTCCTGGGTTCAAGCGATTCTCGTGCCTCAGCCCAAGTAGCTGGGACTATAGGCGTAGGTCACCATGCCTGGATAATTTTTATATTTTTAGTAGAGATGGGGTTTCACCACGTTGGCCATGCTGGTCTCGACCTCCTGACCTCAAGTGATCTGCCCTCCTTGGCCTCCCAAAGTGCTGGGATTACAGGCGTAAGCCACCACGCCCAGCCTGATTTTTCTGACTCCGAATCTTAAATTCTTTCCAAGGGAAGATAGCAGAAAGATTATTTATCACTCTCCATGTCCACCTCTCAGTCTTTTATCCATCCTCTACACCTAACTTTACTTATTTTTTGAGATGTAAGATCTCATTCTGTTGTACAGGTTGGAGTGCAGTGGCGAAATCATGGCTCACTGTAGCCTCTACCTCCCAAGCTCAAGTGCTCCTTGCATCTCGGCCTCCTGAGTAGCCGGGATTACAGGTGCATGCTACCACAGCCAACTAATTTTTTAAACTGTTGGTAGAGGTGGGGTCTCACTATGTTTTGCAGGCTGGTCTCAGACTCCTGGGCTCAAGCGATCCTCCTCCTGCCTCGGTGTCCCAGAGTGCTGGGATTACAGGCATGAACCACTGTCCTCACCTCCCCAGTTACTTTTAAGTTTCGGCAGGTATCAAAGTCATAGTTGCAGAGAAAGGATCAGGTAGTACTACAAGTTCTGTTACGAATAGAGCAGGCCCTTATCCCATTTATTGTATATTATTATTTCCTCTTTCTTTATTCCTTCATTTTTGGACCCTGACTGTCCGAAGGTCAAAGTCTTTTTTTGTTACCCACATGGTTGATAATTCAGCTGTATATAGAATTATAGGCCCAAAGCCAATTTTCTATGAAACTGGAAGGCATTGCTTAGTTGTCTTGCTTCTGATGCTGCTGTTGAGAAGTCCAAAGCTATTCTTATTCTTCATCTTTTTGCCATGTCCTCTGTTTTCCTCCTCTGGAAGCTTATAGTTCGTCACACTTTCATGTTCATGTTATTGTACTGGGAAGTCAAGTGGGTCCTTTCCATCTGGAAACTTCTTACTATGCTTCTTTACAGGGAATTTTTCTTGAATGACTTCACTGTTAATTTCCTCCCCTGTGTTTTCTCTGTTGTTTAAGAACTGTTACTTAGACCAGGCACAGTGGCTCACACCTGTAATCCTAGCCCTTTGGGAGGTGAAGAGTCTGAGACCAGCCTGGGTAACATCGGGCGTGGTGGTGGGCACCTGTAGTCCCAGCTACTCAGGAAGCTAAGGCAGGAGGGTGACTCGGACCCAGGAGTTTCAGGTTGCAGTGAGCCGAGATCACACCACTGCACTCTTACGTTCCACGGTTCTCTAACCTATGCCACCTAACTTCAGCTTCAAGGAAAATACAGCCCACCCAGCATCAATTCTCTTCCCAACTGTCTTAGAAGAAAAAGTGAGTCTGCTCTTAGTTTCTTCTAGGACTTAAAGTAATCGTACTACCCATCTGATCTTCAATGTGTACCCGAGACAGCAAGCTTCCCTATCCTAAAATACAATCGATAACAAACAAACTGTATGGATATTCATCAAGTGCCTTTACAAATCAAGTATCTGACTGACTATCACAGGTAACCTGGCTGAGTCCCCTGTGGCCAACCTGTGAAAGGTGAGATGATGCGTTAGAAGAGTGGCGGTGAGGCCGGGCACGGTGGCTCACGCCTCACACCTGTAATCAAGAGCACTTTGGGAGGCCAAGGCAGGTGGATCACGAGGTCAAGAGATGGAGACCATCCTGGCCAACACGGTGAAACCATCTCTACTAAAAATATAAGACTGGCTGGGTGTGGTGATGCGCACCTGTAGCCCCAGCTACTGGGAAGGCTGAGGGAGGAGAATGGCTTGAACCTGGGAGGCAGAGGTTGCAGTGAGCTGAGATCACGCCACTGCACTCCAGGCTGGTGACAGAGTGAGACTCCGTCTAAAAAAAAAAAGTGGCGGTGAGTGGGACAGTCAAAGATCCCCTCCCTCCTGGACCTCACTTTCTAGTGAGGAGAAAGGAGAAAGAGTGAGGAAGAACAAAAATTTATGTCAAGTGACTCAGCGTTTCATGAGAAAGATTAAAAAGGATGAGAAGTGTGGGGAAAATGGAAAGAGTAATCTACATGGAGTGATCAGGCAAGGCCTGTTGAATTTGGTGACTTCAGAATGGAGACCTGAAGGTAATAAGGAAGTAAGACACGTAGAAGTTTAAATACTTAGAGACAGTCATTTAGCATATTGAAACCTGCAGCCCTATTAAGGAAACAGGCACTTTTTCCTTTGAAAGTACCATGGATGATAATTTATTAGGAAAACTTTTTTTTTTTTTTGAGATGGAGTTTCGCTCTTGTCGCCCAGGCTGGAGTGCAATGGCGTGATCTTGGCTCACTGCAACCTCTGCCTCCCAGATTCAAGCGATTCTCCTGCCTCAGCCTCCTGAGTAGCTGGGATTACAGGCTCCCACCACTGCGCCTGGCTGATTTTTATATTTTTAGTAGAGATGGGATTTCGCCATGTTGGGCAGGCTGGCCTCGAACTCCTGACCTCAGGTGATCCGCCTGCCTCGGCCTCCCAAAGTGCTGGGATTATAAGCGTGAGCCACTGCACCTGGCCACTAATAAAGAGTATTTCTTTGGAATGCATCAGCCTCAAAGGGAAACGGTATTGTGCAGCAATCCATGGATTCTGTAATGACAAAAATGTGCAAATTCAAAAGTATATTCTTTACTATGAGATTCCCAAACATTTCAGAAGGACTGTAAGAGTACCTCAGAAATTTTAAGACACAGAAAAGGAATCTTGTTTTTAGCACCATTTCAAAGGCAGAAGCCAAACAGTGCCAGTCGGGGGCTAGTCACTACCAGCAACATGCTGCAGAAAGAAGGAGAAATGAAGTTTAAATCCCACGCTTCGCACGCCAGCGTCTCCACCACTGCAACGGAGTTTGCCTTAACGGACTCAACACTACTTCAAGATTTAAAAGCAAACTTTGATATACATTTTATCCACTTCATTAGTTAGACTTTAAGGTCATTTGCATATTGCCAATATGTGTATGGTATGAAAAATATACATGTACATGATGTGCAGTGTTCTACAATTTCACTTATGATTGTCCTTAGTCTTTAAAGTCACAAGCTGTTTTAATTCTCATAAATCGTTTGAACTCAGTTCAGTTTGAACACTGAAGGTCTAGATGTGTTGGATGTGCAATTCTCCTGAGCACACACACACAAAAAACATTAATGAGGGGAAATGCTGTAAGATTTTTAGACGCCTTGCGCAGTGGCAGGCAGAAGTCTCTGACTAGCTTTGAGAGCACCAGCAGTGGAAACGTCTGTGTATATGCTCAGTGCACACTGACCACTATGCTTGCCCTTGAGCACGTTACAGTTTAGCAAGTACATCTGGGGCAAAGACCTGCCTCATAGACACCACCATACCACAGTGTTTTAAAGGAGGGACACAAACATCCACTTGGGAGGCAGTGAGGAAAATGATAAAGCCTTTTTTTTTTTTTTTTTTTCAGACAGAGTCTTGATGCAACACCCAGGCTGGAGTGCAATGGCGCGATCTCAGCTCACAGCAACCTCCACCTCCCGGGTTCAATCAATTCTCCTGCCTCAGCCTCCCCAACAGCTGGGATTACAGGCCCGCGCCACCACGCCTGGCTGATTTTTGTATTTTTAGCAGAGACGGGGTTTCACCATATTGGCCAGGCTGGTTTCGAACTCCCGACCTCAAGTGATCCACCCGCCTCGGCCTCCCACAGCACTGGGATTACAGGGGTGAGCCACTGCACCAGGCAAGATTTTTAAAAGACAGTTTGATGTAAAGACATGGCTTAGTGACCAAGAGTGCAGGGAAAGCATTACAACTAGAAGACACCACGTGAACAAAGGCAGAGACACCAGGGAAAGGGTGAGAAATGTTGAGTGTATGGCAAGCCCTTTGGTTCTCAAGCTCCTCCTCCACCTCCTCCTTTAAAAAACAAAGGAAAAGCTGGGTGCGGTGGCTCACGCCTGTAATCCCAGCACTTTGGGAGGCTGAGGCAGGTGGATCACGTGGTCAGGAGATCCAGACCATCTGGCTAACACGGTGCAACCCCACCTCTACTAAAAATACAAAAATTAGCTGGGTGCGGTGGCGGGCGCCCGTAGTCCCAGCTACTCAGGAGGCTGAGGCAGGAGAATGGCTTAAACCCGGGAGGCGGAGGTTGCCGTGTGCCAAGATCCACCACTGCACCACTCCAGCCTGGGCGAGACTTCGTCTCAAAACAAAAACAAAAACAACAACAAAGGAAAAACCACCACCACCAAAAAACTCCCAAAACAACTCCACATATAACGATGATGATTTGCGAACACATTTCTAAGGCCATACACAGATTTGATCGGATCTCTGCCCCCCAAAACTGCAGGCCAACAAAGCACACAAAGCCAACTGGCATGGCACAAATTACTGTTGTGATATGAGGTAGTTTTGGGGGCCAGTGCCATGCACTGTATGTGCCTATAGTCCCAGCTACTCGTAGAGGCTGAGGTGGGAGGATTGCGTGAGCTCAGGAATTCGAGATGACCCTAGGAAACATAGTGAGACCCCATTAAAAAACAAACAAACAAAAAGCACCAAATAAACTAATTTTGGGGTTAGCCAGCAAGTACAGCCCTCTACTGAAAGGGAGGAAGTGATTAATTTTTCACCAACTTCAGTATGCCAGTATTAGTAACAACAGCTGCATAAAGAGTTAAGTGGGAGTTTAGATTCCAGAAGTTAAACCATGAACTGAAAAGTCTGGTTGTGCAGTTGGCACCGAGGCTCATTATTCAATCACCGTACCTGAATCCCTGCCATCTGTTGAGGCTGCAAAGTGAAGCAAAAAGTCCTAACAAGAAATTATATGTTGGCTAGTCTCTCCCTGATAAAGATGAATATTGTTAACAATACTCAACCAAATACAAGATGCAGGAGCCCACATCATAAGCAGAACTCCTGATTGACAAAGAGGGTCGTCAGGCAGTTGGAACAGTTTAATAATTGAATAGAGAAATCAACAAGGCACTTTGAAAGAAATGAAGTGGGAAGCTGAGGCAGGAGAATCAGTTAAACCAGGGAGGCGGAGTTTGCAGTGAGCCGAAATCATGCCAGTGCATTCCAGCACGGTGACAGAGTGAGAGTCTGTCTCCAAAAAAAAAAAAAAAAAAAAAAAAGAAATTAAGTGGAAGAGAGGACTAATTTTTTTTGCAGTAATAACTTACTTTATGATTGTCTTGTTAAAGTCAAGCATCAAATTGGGCATGTCTAAAGTGGCAATCTACATTCTGGCAGAAAAATTACAAAGAAAAGTCACTTGATTTAGAAGGAACAAAGAATCAAATAATTTGTAGTTATATTTAATAATTTTGGTCATAGTTAAAATTTTTAAAATTATATTTTTAAAAGATAATATTCTGGCCGGGCTCGGTGGCTCATGCCTGTAATCCCAGCACTTTGGGAGGCCAAAGTGGGTGGATCACTTGAGGTCAGGAGTTGGAGCCTGACCAACATAGTGAACCGCCCCCCGTCTCTGCTAAAAATACAAAAATTAGCTGGGTGAGGTGGCACACGCCAGTAGTCCCAGCTACTCGGCAGACTGAGGCACGAGAAAAGCCTGAACCCAGCAGGCAGCGGTTGCAGTGAGCCAAGACTGCACCCCTGCATTCCAGCCTGGGCGACAGAGCGAGACTCTGTCTCAAGAAAAAAAAGGATAATATTCTGATGTATCCTTCTTTTGTGCCATTTGCAGTAAAAAAAATTTGGGTACCCACAATTGAATTCACTTATGGGTTTTTTTTTTTTTCTTTTCATTCTCTTCAGGTGTGGCAGTGGGGTGGGCAGGGAGGAATTAACGTTTACTGAAATTATGCCACTTGGTGATCTCCAGCAATCATTTACCAGGTGGTTTATAATCCTCACGTTTAATTCTGGTTGAGCAACAGTGAACTGACTGTAATGACCCTTGGGAAGGTGAATTGGTTACAGATGTATAGTAATGAGACTGTAAAGAACCACTGGCCGGGCGCGGTGGCTCAAGCCTGTAATCCCAGCACTTTGGGAGGCCGAGGCGGGCGGATCACAAGGTCAGGAGATCGAGACCACAGTGAAACCCCGTCTCTACTAAAAATACAAAAAAAAATTAGCCGGGCGCGGTGGCGGGCGCCTGTAGTCCCAGCTACTCAGGAGGCTGAGGCAGGAGAATGGCGGGAACCCGGGAGGCGGAGCTTGCAGTGAGCCGAGATCGCACCACTGCACTCCAGCCTGGGTGACAGAGCGAGACTCCGTCTCAAAAAAAAAAAAAAAAAAAAAAAAAAGAACCACTTATAATAGTCCAGGCAGGACATAACAGGTCTGGAGTAGAGTGGTAGCAGTGGCAAGGTGACATTTAATTTCCATGAAGATGGTTTTAAGGGAGACTGGGACATCGGAAGAAAAAAGGGGTGATGCAGGGCTCAAATCTGTACACACTATGTTTGAGATGATGGCAGACATCCAGGTGAAGAAAACTGGCAGACAGGTGAAAATATTAATCTAGGATGATTAGTCATGCTACGGATTCAGAGAAGGAAATGTGGTTTTTCATTACTTCATTAGGAATTGCACAATAAATCTCCTCCTCCATAATCACATGATTACTGACTTTTCAGCATGCGGGAGGAAAAGCAACTATTTCCACTGTCGAAAGGTTTTATTGGAGAAACTTGATGAATACAATGATTTCATGGCTTAGTGAAGACAACCACAGTGGTTAAAATACACGGAACGCTTATTTAGCTGTATCCATTCAAAGTATTTGAGCATCTCCTATTTATAATGTCAGTTTATTTGATGCTAGTTAAATGTGTAACAAGTTACTTAAAACCAACTGTAATACTAAAAAGTCACTGAACACACCTCTAAAGTATACAGCCTGAATAAAAGGTATTTATAAAAATTCCTTCCCTGTAGTATCTATATATTTAAGCTTACAAACTTAGCTGCTTTTCTACACACAACTGCAATTCTATATTAAAGCTTTGCAACTGCCTTAACCTCTACATTCTTTTTTTTTTTTTTTTTTTCCCCCGAGACAGAGTCTTGCTCTGTTGCCCGGCTGGAGTGCAGTGGCACGATCTCGGCTCATCGCAACCTCCGCCTCCCGGATTCAAGCGATTCTCCTGCTTCAGCCTCCCGACTAGCTGGGACTACAGGCATGCGCCAACACGCCCGGCTAATTTTCGTAATTTTAGTAGGGACGGGGTTTCGCCATGTTGGCCAGGCTGGACAAACTCCTAACCTCAGGTGATGCACCCGCCTCGGCCTCCCAGAGTGCTGGGATTACAGGCATGAGGCACCGCAACCGGCCTATGCTCAAATGTTTCTTGGGCTGTTAAAGTACTGCTCCTCGCGGAAGCGCTAATGTTCCCGGGATCTGTTTTCTTCCGCACATTTACTCCTATCTTCATTAGAAAACATCTGACCTAAATAAATCCCCCAAAGATGCTGACATCTCCTTCCGCTGCAATTTTTTACTTTCTAAGTCAAATCGAAACAATTATTTGAGCGACCGCTCCTGCCTGCCATTAAGTCTTTCTACCACCACCCTCCAGACATATATACAATATTGCTTCTCTCCCTCAAAACAGAAAGGACTGCATAATTCCAGATCAAGGCATAAATGAACCATTACTGTCCAACCCCCACCAACATACCTTGCAATATTATAATCTATTTACCTCTGCTTTGAAAATGTTATTCTTTAAAGCACTGCTTCCAACTAGCCACTTAGCCAGTAACATTTTTGAGAAAAACAAAACAAAACCTAAAACAATGTATATATTCCTGGGGGGAAGAGTTTCTAACTCAAAATAGGCAGAGAATTCTGTTTATTATTCTAAGGAATACCCTTCTGAAGAGGCCTACGGTCCGTGGGGCAGTTTCTAATTTAAAACTGCTTAGGTGGACCAGGAAGAATGTACATTTAAGGAGATATCTTTAGACATAGATACTTCGCGCAAGCCAAATGCTCGTAGGGTAAGCGACATGACTAGGGGTTAAAAGCGGCTGGCTGGTAGGCCGGGCGCGGTGGCTCACGCCTGTAAGCCCAGCACTTTGGGAGGCTAAGGCGGGCAGATCACCTAAGGTCAGGAGTTCGAGACCAGCCTGGCAAATATGGCGAAGCCCCGTCTCTACTAAAAATACAAAGATCAGCCGGCGTGGAGGCGCGCGCGCTCTCAGCTACTCGAGAGGCTAAGGCAGGAGAATCACTTGACCCCGGGAGGCGGAGGCTGCAGTGAGCCGAGATTGCGCCACTACACTCCAGCCTGGGCACAGAGTGAGACTCCGTCTCAAATAAATAAAAGCAGCTGGTTACTTCTCATTCTCTTTAACGAAACAAACAAAACTGAACTTTGCTGGGTGACAGGAGTGAAGCAAAGGAAAAAAGAAGGATAGTACAAGTTCGATTCGAATTCTTCCAGTCTTATGATTCGATCACTGCAGGAATACTGATAAAAATCTGCGTTTTTCCCAGCTTGATAACTTTTGCGAGGCCAGACTAAACGAATACAACGCTCAAAGGAGACAAGTCTCCTTTTTCCTCCGCTTTCTCAAATTTACCTCTCGCCTTTTCCCTCCCAAAGTCGAACCCCCCCAGGATCGTACAGGCGATATTCCCTCTACCAAGCATTCTACTCCTCTGCAGATGCTGCAACCTTTACACTGGAACCAACACTTAGCTGTGGTGCTCCCCGCTTTCTTTACTCGGAGTAGCCCAGGCTCCTCCGCTCCAATCCCCAGTTTCCCTCTTGGGCGCCTGGACGCGTGCCCAGCCGCAGCCTGAGAGACACCGCGCGGCTGCACGCACCATGCAGATGTGCTCCCTTTCCCCTTCTACTTCTCCTCCCCAAAGAGATTTTGTGTTGTGACTGGCCTGTCCCGGTTACTTACTCCAAGATGTAGGGGTGAAGAACGGAAGAGGACGAAATAACTAGCTGGAGGCAGCAGTGTCAGCCGATGCCGGTGCCACGATTCGAGACACCGGCGCCTCTCGCGGTGCTAACAGGATGGGCGCGCGCCCTCCTCCCGGCATCCGTAGAATCCCCGCCTTTGACCTAGCTCCAGGTGATTACTTTCCGGGTCAGTGTGTGTCTAGGGCAAAGACGGAGTTGTAAACTTCTTAAAATTCCTCTCTCAACATTTCAGTAATTCCTCTTTCGAGACCAAAGCTCTTTTTGTGTGCGTGTGTGTCAAGCGTATGCCCCGGGATTGTCCTTCTCCGCTTCCCTTTCTCGGTGTTCCTTCTTGCTTTAGGGACCGGAAGAGTCCTTGAACCAAAATAGCTCGGTGGGCACTTCCGGGGCCGGAGCCCAGGGTTCCCGGAGGGTGCAAGCAGGAGAGGGAAAGGCAGCGGCGGCGGCAGCTGGAGAATGAAGAAGGAGCATGTGCTGCACTGCCAGTTCTCCGCGTGGTACCCGCTCTTCCGAGGCGTTACCATCAAGAGGTGAGATGGGAGGGGGTTCGCCCGGCCTACCGGCCAAAGGGAACCGTGACTTGTGAGCGAATCTTACTGCCATCCAAAAAAAATGCAGGCCTTCTAGCGACTGCATGGGAGGGAGTGTGTCGAGAGGGAAGTAGGTAAGCAGTTGTCTGCGTCTTGTTGCAAGCCAGCGAGTGTGCTGGCTAGGAGGGTCAGTTGTGGTTTCAGTGAGGGTCGGAGGCGGGAGGAGTAGTGGATTAACGTAGTTTAGGCTTGGGAGTTCACCACCACTACTTTTAGAATGGCCCCCGGCTCAAGATGATCAGTGCCCAAGGCCACCCGGTGGCTTAATTGCTTTTACGCCACCTCCCCAGAGGTTGGAGATTGGGAAGGTGAAAGGATACGTAATTACAGTTAGATACGAGAACAAGTACATAGATCTGTTGTATAGCATAGAGACTATAATGACGATATACGTATAGTATTCGTGAAAAACGGAGAGTGGATGTTAGTATTCTCATCACAAAAATAACTCTGTTAGGCAATGCATTTGTTAGTTAGCTACATTTAACCATTCCACAATGTATAAATACTTCAAAGCATTAGGTAGGCGGCAAGTATTAATATATACAATTTCGTCTCTCAGTTTTTTTAAAGGTGTTTATAGAAAATCTGGGGTTTGCACTTACTGATTTTTTTGAGCCAACATTTCAGTAATTGCTGATTCATTATATAATGGTTTCATTCAATAAAGATTGGGTATGTACTTGAAAATGTGTAATAGGCCCAGAATGGTCAGTTAAAATGTATAAGAAAAGTTTCAGGTTTTTAAATAGTATTGGAATGTCTAGTAGAACCTTGGATTCATTGTACTTAACAATTTCGTTTGTTAGCTTTGTAAGAGTAAAATACTTAGGAAGGCTTGTTTCGTAGTCAGCCAATAGACACATTAAAAAAGAAAATTGAGTAGTGTATAAATAGAATTTAAATTTTTAAAGAGACTTTTAAGTTACAAAATTTCACATGAAATTGATTAAAATTTAATAGATTTTCAAACATAATAAGATTTGTTAGATGAAATTGAAAGCCTGAGGAAGAACTAGATTTTTTTTTTTTTTTTTTTTTTTTTTGAGACGGAGTTTTGCTCTGTCGCCCAGGCTAGATTGCAGTGGCAGCGATCTTGGCTCATTACAGACTTCGCCTCTGGAGTTCACGCCATTCTCCTGCCACAGCTTCCCGAGTAGCTGGGACTACAGGCGCCCGCCACCACCCCCGGCTAATTTTTTGTATTTTTAGTAGAGACGGGTTTTCACCGTGTTAGCCAGGATGGTCTTGATTTCCTGACCTCGTGATCCTCCCGCCTCGGCCTCCCAAAGTGCTGGGATTACAGGTGTGAGCCACCGCGCTCGGCCAGAACTAGATTTTTGAATGTGAAATCGTACTTTTGATAAATCAAATATTTATTTTTAAAACCGAAGTAGCCCATGAATACTCTTTTTTTTGTGCACAAAATCATTTGTAATGTGCCAAAAAAAACTTATTCCATAAATAAATGAGACATAAGTCACTGATGTTGTGTTAACTTCCTGAAAGCAGACTGTAAGCTTTTCCACTTTTTGAAAATGTATATGCCTCAAGATCAAAATAATACCACCACTCTTAGGTATCTGTGGTAGGGCTTTTTGATAATTTATTATTTCAAGGTAAAAAACAAATTATCCCATAAGTTTTTAAGAGACTTCAAATATGACTTTGCCATCCTTAATTATGATTATCTGAAACGAATTAAGCTAAAGCATGCCCAGTTTAAGCAGCTTTTATCTCTGGTGATCAGCTGAATAGAATGACAGCAAGACACATCCGAAAGTATCATGAATTCTTAGCTGTGGGTGCTCATTGCCAACCCAAAAATGGTTTCCAGATCTTGACTCTACTTCTGCCCTCTATCTTTAGAAGGTGACCAAACGCTAGTCATCTTCTGGTTTGTTTTGCTGCATTTCCTGTGTTGCAGCAAATATCTGCTGGTCTCTGATGTCTTAAAGACACAGAAATGTTGTGCTCACTCAGAATCCTTTTGAGCTTGTTGCTTTCATACTGTGATTTCCATCTGATTGTTTGGATTTGGCTGGTTTTTGTGGCAATAAGGTGAACCGCAGTATTTAATCATATTATTCTAATTCCTTGTCTGCTGCTACCAAATATACATCATTAACATTTTCTACTTTATATTAAATACGTTTATATTACATTGAAATAAGTAAATCCAAAATCAATAAAGGGTGAACATTTTTCTCTCTGCTTATAGTTGATCTTTTAAAATGATGCCTTTTTTGGTGTTTTTTTTTTTTTTTTTTTTAGTGTCATTCTTCCACTTCCTCAGAATGTGAAGGATTATTTACTCGATGATGGAACTCTGGTGGTTTCAGGAAGGTAAAGTATTTTAGAAAAAAATGTATTAAACTTTATCATAAAGAAGCACATAAAATGAATGAATTAGCTTAGGCACCATTCTCTCCCTTTAGCTCTTTTTCTCTCCTAGCCAAAATGATGTGCTGATATTTATCTCATATTCCTTGTCAATGCTTACTTAATATTTTCAGCATTAAGTACTTTTCCCTCTAATAATGACAACTTGTGAAATTGAGCAGTTCCTTTCATCTCCGTCTTTAGAAAACAGTTATGATGACAAGTTTTCCTTCTGAAGGTGGCAGGGTGGGGGAAGTGCACATTAAAATTCTTTGAGATCCTTCAGTTTTGACGATTAAAAATTCATTGTTGCAAATAGAAAGCTTTACTAGGCTTTATCATTTCATTCCTCAACATTTTCTTCCCCACAATTGACCTACCGTGGCCCCACCTCCACTTTCTAGAAGCCGTTCAGGTAGTTTGCCTATTTATAGAATAAAGGGAAGAAGTTACTGTGTTTCAGTCTTTTGGATGCAAACTTGAAAACATTGAAGAATCATAGGATTTAGTGAAGTTCTCATTTTTTCATTCGAATCTGGTCACGTTATGAGTGTTCAGCCCTCACCGGCCTTTCTAAATTAGCCTGACAGTAACACTATGCCCTAACCTCCCTTCAGTTTTCTGCATCACACTTACTTCCACCTGACAGTTGTTAATTGTTCCATTAGAATGCAGTTTCATGAAAACAGGGACGTGGCCCATTTGTTCACCCCAGCTGGTGGGACAGTGCCTGATACAGCAGAGGTGCTTGATAAACATGTGTTGGATGAAGGAACTCTAGAAATAGAGTAAGAATTGTGTGTTTTCAGTAACACTAAGCGGACCCCATATTTTTGCCTATTGGGTTTTTAATGTGGTTTTCTGGATTATATTTCTGTTTTTGGTATTCATAGAGCCTCAATAACCAGAAAATTGTTAATGTAGCGCCTCATTAACTTTGAGTAATTTGAGGCTAAGGAAACAGTAGGAAAGTCAGACAAGTCTCAACTTTAGGATATTTACAGATACAATTTTTTTTGTTTTGTTTTTCTTTTGAGACGGAGTCTCACTCTGTCGCCCAGGCTGGAGTGCAGTGGCGTGATCTTGGCTCACTGCAAGCTCCGCCTCCCGGGTTTGCGCCATTCTCCTGCCTCAGCCTCCCGAGCAGCTGGGACTACAGGTGCCTGCCACCTCGCCCGGCTAATTGCTCACTGCAACCTCTGCCTCAAGTGAGTTCAAGTGATTCTCCTGCCTCAGCCTCCCAAGTAGCTGGGACTACAGATGCCTGCCACCACGCCTGGCTAATTTTTTGTATGTTTACTAGAGATGGGGTTTTACTCAATCTCCTGACCTCGTGATCTGCTTTCCTCGGCCTCCCAAAGTGCTGGGATTACAGACATGAGCCACTGCGCCCAGACTTTTTTTTTTTTTTTTTAAGATGGAGTTTTGCTCTGTCACTCAGGTTGGAGTGGAATGGCTCAATCTCAGCTCACTGCAACCTCTGCCTCCCATTGATTCTCTTGCCACAGCTTCCCAGCTAGCTGGGACAACAGGCGTGTGCCACCATACACAGCTAATTTTTGTATTTTTAGTAGAGATGGGGTTTCACCACGTTGGCCGGGCTGTCTTGAACTCCTGACCTTAGGTGATCCACTCGCTTCAGCCTCCCGAAGTGTTGGGATTACAGGCGTGAGCCACTGTGCCTGGCCAGTTTTATTATTCTCAAATACATATACCTATTTGCTTTGTAAATGAGCTTATAAATAATAAGCTTATATAAATGAGACTATAAGTAAAATAGCTTTTAATATTAGAAAATAATTGGTAAATCTCAGTAGGGTAAACATATTGAAGAGCTCCTATGATGATTCTCACTGGCCAGATGTTTGCATGGCCTCTGGCTTAGGCAAGCACTGATGTTAAATACTGTGAAACAGGGCCGGGTGTGGTGGCTCATGCCTGTAATCCCAGTACTTTGAGAGGCCAAGGTGGGTGGATCACCTGAGGTCAGGAGTTCAAGACCAGCCGGACCAACATGGTGAAACCCCGTCTCTACTAAAAACACAAAACTTAGCTGGGCCTGGTGGTGGGCACCTCTGATTCCAACTACTCAGGAAGCTGAGGCAGGAGAATTGCTTGAACGCAGGAGGCGGAAGTTGCAGTGAGCCAAGATCGTGCCATTGCACTCCAGCCTGGGCAACAAGAGCTAAACTTCGTCTCAAAAAAAAAAAAAAATACTGTTAAACAATGCGATACGGTGCTTTACAGTAAGCCACAAATCACATAGGGATCTTGCCCTTTTGGAGTTGACAGTAAAGCTTAGTATTTTGTGAAAGCCGACGTGGCGTAGTGCTGTTTCGTTAGTCAGACGACCTAATTTTAAGTAATATCTTTGCTATTTTCTAGTCCTTCCCTCTGTGCCTCAGTTTTCTTGTCTGAATATGGGGCAAATGACAGTATAGACCTTACTTTATAGGGTCATTGCAAAGATAAAAAGTGATAATATCTAAAATGGCAGTCTAATGCCCAGTATATTGTATGCTCTTAAGACATGCAACTACTTTTGTTATCATTAATCTTAGGTGAACATAGCAAACACACAAGAGAATATGTAATGAAAACTGGGATAAGTGCTGTGCAGAAAATGGGGTGGTCATTGCCCTTAAATTGCTGGGAGAGCTGAGGACCGCGAGGAGGGTCAGGGAGTGCTCTGAAGAAGGATCTTTGGAGCCTCTGAGATGTGAAGATTGGAGGAATGTAGTCAGTTGAAGGTGAAGGGAAGAATCTTCCAGATGGGGGGAACAGCATTAATAAAGGCTCTAGGCCTGGAAGATCTTGACATACAAGAAGCTTGGAAAAGGTCATGTATCTAGAGTATGTGTATGGGGAGTGAGAGAAGGGTAAGTGGCATGAGATTCACAGTTGATGACATGGGGGAGGACAGTTAAGGTTAGGGGTGTGTGGGGGAGTCATGTTAAAGATGCTGGAATTTATTCTGAGAATGTCAGGAAGGCGTTGAAGGGCTCTGAGCAAGAGAATGACTTGATCAGATTTCAGTTTCCGGGCAGTGTCAGGTGACTATGGAAATGGAAGACAGGTTAGGAGGATATTGCATTGGACTGGGTGAGACTTGCTAGTGGCTTGAACTAAGATGGTGACAGTGGCGGGGGGAGGAAGTGGGTTTCAGAAGATGGGGAGCTTGCACCTTCAGAACTTGAAGACAGGGATGTGTCAAGGATTCCTCTCAGATTTCTGATAGAACGACTAGATGAATGAAGATGTCATTTGCTCAGGTTGAGAGAAGCATTGTCTGTTGAGCCTTTTTGAAAACTCACAATCTGTTGACAATTTTGAAAGGTTAGTTATTTTAGATTAGGTTACTTTTACAGATAAAAACTTGAAAATTTTAAGTTTACTTTAAATGAGGTACATTTATGATAAAATGTAAAAATTTTTTTTTTTTTTGAGATGGAGTCTCCCTCTGTCGCCCAGGCTGGAGTGCAGTGGTGTGATCTCAGCTCACTGCAAGCTCTGCCTCCTGGGTTCACGCCATTCTTCTGCCTCAGTCTCCCGAGTAGCTGGGACTACAGGCGCCCACCACTGTGCCTGGCTAATTTTTTGTATTTTTAGTAGAGACAGGGTTTCACCGTGGTCTCGATCTCCTGACCTTGTGATCCGCCCGCCTCGGAAAATGTATAGATTTTAAGTGTACAGCTTGGCAAATTTTGATAAATGGTTACACCTATTTCACCATCACTCCATTCAAAACATGGAACACTTTCATTCCCCAGAAAGGTTTCTCTTGTCCCTTTCTTAGTTTAGTTTTGTCAGTTCTAGAATTTCATATAAGTGGAGTTACATAGTATGTATTCTTTTATGCCTATGTAAGTGGAAAAAATACCATTTTTCCTCTGCTCTCATACCACCACAGTCAACACAGAAGACCTCTGTAACCACATGTGTGGGGTTTTCTTCCCACCAAGAAGCAATCCGTTCTGCAGCAGACGCCAGCTGAGGGTCCTCCAGTCCAATTCAGTCTACCTGGAGGAGCATCAGATCCCACAGCTTGAGGGCTCAGTCTCACAAAGACTGCCCCCCACCCTGATGTCAATTGCAAGCCCCAGGTTCCTCTACCTGTGGGTCTGACCAGGCAGCTAGAAATGAGTGTCCCCTCCTTGGGTTTGATTCATTTGCTAGAGCAGCTCACAGAACTGAGGGAAACATTTATTTAGGTTTACCGGTTTCTCATAAAGGATGTTACAGCCCTGGTGTGGTGGCTCATGCCCGTAATCCCAGCACATTGGGAGCCCGAGGTGGGCAGATCGCTTGAGGTCAGGAATTTGAGACCAGCCTGGCCAACATGGTGAAACCTCATCTCTACTAAAAATACAAAACTTAGCCAGGCGTGGTGGTGCACTCCTGTAATCCCAGCTATTCAGGAGGCTGAGGTAGGAGAATCACTTAAACCCAGGAATTGAAGGTTGCAGTGAGTCGAGATCGCACCACTGCACTCCAACCTGGGCGACAGAGCGTGACTCTGTTTCAAAAAACCAAACAAACAAAAATAAAGGATATTAATAATGGATAGAGATGAAGAGATGTGTAGGGTGAGGTGTGGGGGAAGGGATGCAGATCTTACGTGCCCTCCTACATGCGCCACCCTCCAGAAGCTCCATGTGTTCAGCTATCTGGAAGCTCTTCGTACTTTGCAAGAAAGTGGGAGATGGCTGGAGAGGTCTGCCATGGACCCTAATTCTTCATGCCTCATCCTCCATTGCTTCCACATACAGTGCCTGCCTTTCTCTCCAGACTCTATAAGGTATAGTCTTGTTTACAGTTATAAGTTAGCATACAGTCTGGGTTCAGTAAATGTTGGTTGAATGAGTGAATGAACATGCTTATCCTACTTTCTCTCCATGGTAACCTCTGCTGAGTTCAATGAATAAAATAGGCCAACGATGATGTTTAGTTTACCTTGTTTGCCG